TGATTATATTGATATGCAAAAAAATTGAATTTATAGTACTTTTCGTATAGTTTTTGAATATCTAAATGTTTTGTTTAAAATATCAAATTAATGTAATTTAATTTAACTTTGAAAATTAGTCAAATTGACTTTCGAAAAGCGCAACATGACAATTAAAAGTGGACAGAGAGTGTATTATTTTTTATTTTTCTTATAATAATATTGATTTATTGTTATAAAATTGCTTATTTACTTTCTCTTCTAATTTATAATTGTACTACAGAGTTATTATAATTTTAATCTTGATTGTTGAAAAACGCAATTAAGAGACTTTTTTTTAAAAATTAAATGTTATAAATTGCTTATACACGCTTCTATTATCATTCACTATGAAAATTATTAATTTATTATTTTTTGAAAGGTAATTAAAACATTATTGTTTAATATATAGTTAGATTTTTTAATTATAAAGAAACGGCTTCATTTGAGGGTAAAAAAAATAAAAAATAAAAAACGAAAGAAAAATATTTTACCCAAATCATGTGACTTTTTTCATATTTGTTTATTATTATTGTCTTTCCCAAAACTTTTCGTCACTATTAACTCATGGAAATCGTAAGAAAAAATAGGAGTGTGAATTTATGAATGATTTACTACAATTTGTTCACCAACTCTTTCTTATGTGGTACTTCGAATTTTGTTGAATTTTGAACTTACTTAACTGTTGCAAATAACCCTGAGATTTTTTAAGAAGAAGAAGAGTAGAAAATTTACAAAAATCGTAGTTTAAAAGTGAGAGGGAGCCCTCTATTTATAGCTAAAAAATAGTAGTATGAATATGTGCTAATTGTTCCTTATCAGAAAAGTTACAACCTTTCGAAAAAGTCACTGCTCAACAGAAAAATCACAACCTTTTGCAAAAGTCACAACTCATCGAAAATGTCAAAATCCGTCAAAAAAATCGCAACCCTTTGGAAAAGTCACATCTCTTTGAGAAAATCACAACCTTTTAATATGAAAGGGTATCTACATTTAATATAGTACAAATAATTAATTTAATAAATACAATAAATTAAGTATTTTTAATTGGAAATATTATAGTAATTCAATATTCTGTTTAGGAGTTCGCTTTTAAGGTAGTATAGAAGATAGATATAGATATACTAGTAAAATATTCACAATATATTTCACTCCTCAACAAAATTTCTTATTTCCTGGACATCCAACGTGCATTTTTCTCCTTATTCCCAAAATTAATTTGACGGCGTATACTGGATTGGTAGATGACATGTCCTATTTGTTGTCAATATTATAATCAAATCATGACTCAATAATTAATTTATTTTCTTTGTTGAATATTGTAGTCGATGGATAGTAGTTTGAATGATTAATATACAATGTATATATATATATAAAGCCAAATATGAAAACGATGACGTGACACCTCTCAATGACCTCTATTAGTATTTATCTATTTTGTCAATTTTTTGAGCTTTTATCTCATTTTAATTACAAATTAAAAATGTATTCATGATATAAAAAAACATTTAACTCCTATAATTAAATATATTCATGAATAAAATAAAAGTGAATATTAATATTCAAAGAGATTTCTTAGCCATTTTCTTACATTTTGTGTGATTAATTTAGATGAAACGTCCGACTTGTCATCACGACTATAGCCAAATTGTGGCACAACAATTAATTGTTTAAATTTCTTTGTTGAATGTAGTTTTATAGAAAGTTTAAAATAAGTGGAAATGTACACAAACTCGCTTCATTTTAAAATGTTGATTAAAATCAACCATTGGCTTAAAAATAGCCAGAACTTCTCATCTGAAAAGTTAATCAGATTTTTTTTTTAACAACTGATCAGTAGTCTGCACAATGATCTTTAACATTAATAAAGACTATTTTGATTTTTAATTTCTTAAAATTTAACATCAAGTTGAATCATGGTGTTTTTTTTTTAAATATTATTTATTTAAGGTCTTAATTAGCTATTTTTAATTATAATTTGAAGAGATTTTCTGGAGTTATTCTCTAAAACAAAAACTTGTCTAACTCCTAAACGTATATCTAGACTAAAAAGGTTACGTCTTACGATACTTTTACCCTCAAAAATCACCTCAAATGCGTTTTTACTATGCTCCGCCACAAAGCTCGCCCCAAAACGCCTTGCAAAATGTAAATTAGCAATTCTACAATCAATTTTCACTCAATTCTCAAATTGGGGTCTCTCTTTTCTTTCCACAACTATTTTTTAAAAACTAATATTATGATCTTTTTTTCTGTTTTCTTGGGGTGGGTAGGTGGGGGAGGGGGGAGATATGGGTTTTAATTAATGGGAACTTATGCAAATAGCCACTATAATAAACTTAATTATGCTACATAACTATAGTGTGCATATTTACGGGATGTAGTTACAGTTTAAGCTGTCTTGTTTGTATATTTCGCGGATTTGTATAATTCACAGGTTTGTATAATTTACAGGTATATTTGTATAATTCAGTTATTTTTGTATAAACTCAAAATAACGAATTTATACAATTACAAACATTAGAAGTGTACGCAGTTATACAAATTATATTATACAAATTTCGAATTATACAAAAGTTATACAAATTATATTATACAAATTATACAAAAGTTATACAAATTTTATTATACAACTTCTGAATTATACAAGCGTGCAAATTATAGAAACTAAAAAGCTGAGCCGCGTAATTGTAGCTAAAAGTAGTTCGCGAATTGTAATTAAGATAAAATAGCTATGTCAACTAATTAACTAGTATATGTTTGCTTATACGCGTAATTTTCCCTTAGGTTTGTTTGACTATGGGCCTATATGTCTCAACCCATGTAGTTAACATGGGCCTAATGGCCCAAAATTAGGCCCAAGATAGCAAACCAAAAGGTACCATTTCCATAAACCACTCTAAAACCCTTGATCGAGATAATCACAGATCGATCGGAAAAAATGTCAATGGCTCTAAGTATCAGAAAAGCCACCGGAGCTTCGACACTGTTCAAATTACTCAGCTCCAAATCCCAAATTACTACTGCTGCTCCTTCAATGACACGCTTTTTTTCCTCCATTACAACTTCAGATTCAAATTCCTTGAGCAATGAGCAGAAAAACTCTACTGAGCCAAGTAATTGATTCATCCGTTTACCTCTTTTTCTTATTTACACTTTATGTTATGTGATATTTGTTCATTTACATTAGGTAGAATGTATATTTTATGTTGAGCCGATTATCAACACATTTAAGTTGGCTGTATTTCGCATATGGTTATTCAACTAATAGTTATTATCTCTCAGAAAGTTATTTTCATGTTGAAGAAAATTGGAATCTAAGAAGAAAGATGAATTTTTGAGATAATAACCTATTAATTAACTGATCATTTGAGAAATCAACTCCATTTGTGTTGTGTTCAGAGTATTTTTGGTTTAGTTAGAGATTTGATTAAAGTATTGAAATTGGTGTGTTAGAGAATATTGCTAATTTATTTATCCTAAAAGAAATTGAGTAGGAGTATGAAACAAACCAAAAATGGAACTATAGGTTTCTTTCCATTTGCCGAAACTTTGCTCAATTTTCGTGAGTAGAGTCACTTGGTAACTATGTATTTGTGTGGGTGGGAGGTAACATGTATCTAGTGGAATAGTCTATGTGCGCGCAAGCTGGCAAAACACCATCATTATTGGGGGAAAAAAAATGTATACTTGATTTATATGGCTGGAGCACCCAAAGGTGTAGCGTAGTAGCATAGTGGTCAATGACATGAATGCAAACCTTGGAGTCCAGGTTCAAAGCTCAGCAAGAAGCAAAAACACAATAATTAATTTCTTCTCACGTGCCTAAGCCTTGGTGAGCAGAGTTACTTGATGTGTCTATGTTGGGGGAGGTAGTGTTATCTGGTGGTAAAGTTGAGGTTTACGAAATTGGCTCAGACGTCAGTGTTATCCAAAAAGAATTAAATGATTGATATGGCCAGTCGTAACTAGTTTGAGATTGAGCTCTAATGGTTGTTTTTGTTTACTTCCATTGAAGGTCGAAGCTCTGTTATTCATTTTCCCTGTGTTTATTTGCAGTTCTCGTGACGGGTGCTCCACAAGAATTCAAGATGGAGAACCCGTTTCAGTCAGTAGGACCGAAAGAGGTGCTAGAAGTGGATACACTGAAGGATGGTATACTTGTGAGAGTGGCAATGCCTGGCGTTGGTGAAGATGGGATTAAGGTATGGTTAGAGAACAACACGGTTTACTTCACTGGCAAAGGAGAAATAGAAGTGGAATCTGAGGAATCAGGGAGGAAATACGGAGGAAGTCTCGAGTTTAGCACTGATTGCTGTAAAGCTGAGAAGGTTGAAGCACAAATGAAAAATGGTATTCTTAGAATGGTAATTAAAGGTGAGATGGGACAAGATTGAATGTCTTAATGTTCTCTTTTTGTTCATCTTGTTGATATATCCTTTGTAGTATGAACACTTTGTACTATTTTAGGAAATGTTTGATCAAAGTTCTATACTATATGATGGTTGTTGAAATTACTCAATTAATATGGATCAGAATGCTTGCAAATATTGTTTGAGAAAAATGATATTTCTTGTTGTGTGTCTCTTGAATCTTTGGTACTCCATTCCACTTAGTTTGACATGTTTACTATTTGGAGAGTTTGAAGGTTTGTTTTAGCTGTACAAATGAAATGACTTGTAGCTACATAAATATCTATGGTTTGTTCTAAATCACACGTTTCAACAGTCTTTCTTTCATTCTGAAACTTTGTGCCTAGTGAAACACTATCACATAAATTGATATGGAGAGAGTACTTACTTAGGTTCACTACAACAACATACCTAATGTAATCTTCACAAGTGGGGTCTTAGGAGAGTAATGTGTACGTTAACCTTACCTCTTCGTTAAAAAGGAAGAGAGGTTGTTTCCAAAAGATCGTCAGCTAGCAGGTTATTTAAGTTCACTATTGAATTGATTTATGTTTTTCTTATCTGGTAGAGTATAAAGAAACTAGAAACTTTATACAATGAACAAAAGGAGAAACTCACCAGTAATCAATTGGAAACACAACATTCCCAACAAATAAACATTTGAAAGAATATGTATTTGACTCCTTTGTTAGCATGATAAATTCATACATGTCAACCCCATGAATGAATGTTCATCAATCAAACTCTTTGTTCTTTCGATTAATCAATCATCTTCTTGGTGCTCCAACGCAAGTTCAGTAAACTAAAGAAGAAGGCGAAAATTTGGCTATGGTGTTCATTGATCTTGTGGCTCTTCACTGCACCATTTTTTTCCTGGTGATGATTTCTAACATCCCCTCTTACAATCACTTGCTTTTTCCCAACATCTATTGTATACTCCCTCATCCCTGTCAATATTAGTTACAATAATTTAAATTTCAGAACTTTATTAGCATGTATAAAAACTCTATACAAGTGCATAAAGGTAGCTAAGAGTAAAACACCTAATTAGTGGAAATAGGTAAATTTAACTTAAAATTCCCGGCGTCTGTCCTGAAGTGAGTTGAGAATCATAAAATTTCATGTCAAATTACAGCAGAAACAAAAATATTACTCCTGATGTCTCAATTTATATGATCCACTTTCTTTTTTAGTCCATTCTAAAAACTAAAAAGAATGAAACATTTTTATATTTAATAATAATTTAAGTTTAAAATATCCATTTTATTCTTGATGAAATGATTTATACCTACACAAACATATATAACTTATTTTAGAGTACAAGTTTCAAAAGTTTTTCTTTCTTTCTTAAATTCTGTCAAGTCAAACTTCATCACATACATTGGTCGATATATGTAACCGTGGGAGGCGTAGGTACCCTATGGAATTAGTGATTTATGCCAGCAAGAATACGATCAAGTTGTCAATGAAATGGATTAAGAACCATTCATTTATCGGTGAGGCAAAAAAAAATACCAACACCTCATACAAAATTTCTGAACTTCCCTACTTTTATATGTTAACATAAAAATAACAAGCTGACTCTGGACATCACGATTATAAAAATTCACAAACATATAATAACCCTAAGTTTTTTTTACCTGTTATCCTTGACATGATTTGAGATATTCTGCTCCTGCAATGTGTGCATCCCAAATCTGCATTCACCACCACCACCTGAAACTAATATCCACTAACCTTCATTAGAAAACTAAATACATAATTATATTTTTTCCTTTGCTAAAACACAAATTAAGATGATGAAAGAATTTTTTTTATAATTAATTAAAAACTTACTGAGGGAAGCTTAAGATTAGCAACACTTAACAAAGTTTGTTTTTGACATTTTGATTTCTCCATTCTATTGCTATGAGATTTTTTCTCTGATTAAGAGGAAGAGAATTGTTGGCCTAATGGACTAATTATTGTATTCTACAGCCTGGTCAACATATATATTAATACATCCTACTAAACCTTATCTATCCTAATTAATATTTAATCACTTTTCAACATTTATACTCTAATACATTTAACGTATAGGAACAAACTAGAATATTTATTATTATAATCCTGGCTTTATGTCATTATGTGCCAGATTACTTAGATTATTAGGATGTGTTTGGAAAACGTTTCTCTGCAAAATAAGCGATTTTTAATTTCTTACGTATTTGATTAGTAAACAGAAAATATTATTCCAAAAATATTTATATATAATTTATGAGAAAGAGTGCAGAGAGGCGGAGCTAAGTGAGGGTTCCCTGTATTTATATTAGAAAATTAAATAAATATATATGTATACTAACTTGTAAACCCCTTAATAAAATGATTTGATGGCTTAGTAGAACCCCAAACTCTTAATCCTGACTCAACCTGTGTATGAGTGGGGGTGGGAATTATTGTGTTGTGGGTATGGAGGAGACCAATAACGTGGAATTGTGACTTGTAAAATTTATCTTTCCTACTCTTTCTAAGAAAGTCATTTTCTTTTAATTTTGAAAACATTTTAATTAATCAAACATATGAGATAATAGCAAAACATTTTTTTTTTCAAAAAGATATTTATTCCTTTGGTACCAAACAGACCCTAAGACAAATGTATTCAAAATTAGAGTCATGAAGAATAGTTGGGTAAGAGTTTGGCACGTTATAGCCATCAATAACGAACTTGTACCTTTTTTTACTTCAAGGTGGTTTTCATGTTCCCATCACATACTTTTATTTAAATACTTTATCTTAATATATGTCGCACTCTTTCTTTTTCTAATCTGTTTCGAAAAAAAATGTTACCTTTCTATAATTAAAAAATACTTTAACTTTAAATTCTTTTTCTTACACTTAATGAGATGATTTGTAGTCACCCAAATATCTAAAATTTGTTTACACAAAACTATTTGAAAGTTTTTTTTCTTAAATTTTTTATCAAATCCTGTTACATAAATTGAGACGGATTACTAAAATAATAGTAGGTGCTCATATTCAGAAGAATCAGAGAGCTTTGCCAAAGATATTAGTAGTTTATTTTATCTGTATGGGAAGTACCATAATTTATTTATTAGTCTGTGAAGCAGGTAAAACAGCTACTGGTAAGAGATAATAGGAGTTTTTAATACTCCTTTCGTCCCAATTTATGTGACACATTTCGTTTTTTAAGAGTCAAACAATTTAAGTTTGATCGAAAACTTGCTCATGAAATCTTCAAATTTTTTAAAATGAAATTTATATGTTTGTAAACTCCATAATAAGTACTATAAGTCACAATAATTGACAATTCAAAGTATTTAAAAAATATAAAAAAATTATGATAAAAATAAATTTATTTAAATCTCGAAATCTGAAATATGTCATATAAATTGATATAAAGGGAGTAATATATTATAGTTGGAATAATTTAAAAATGCCGCCAACTAACCATATGAGTAATGAGGAACAGGTCAATCAGTTGACCCCTACAAGCCTAATCCCACTAGGTCCAATACTTTAGACGGTTACCCCATATGTATTTTTTTAATTTAGTAGCTCCTGATGTTTGAGTCAATAAAAAGGAAAAATTTATGTAAAACAATAGCTAGTAGTAGAAGTATAAGAAAGCATTCTGAACAGTGACTACAATAAAATAATACATAATCGAAGTAAAATAAATTAAATAATAGCTAGTACTCCCTTCGTCTCATTTTATGTGAGGTACTTTGACTCGGCACAAAGTTGAAGAAAGAAAGGAAGACTTTTAAAACTTGTGGTCCGAAATGAATGATAGAAATTTGTGTGGCTGTAAATTATTTCATCAAGGGTAAAATAGATATTTTATAGTTAAATTGTTACTTAATACTCCCTCCGTTTCAAAAAGAATGTCCTTATTTCCTTTTTAGTCTGTTTAAAAAAAAATGACCTATTTCCTTTTTTGGTAACATTTTAATTTCAGCTTTCCACGTGGCATGTCTAAAGCCACAAGATTGAAGGACAATTTAGTACATTTGACATAACTTTAATTTAGGACCACAAGATTCAAAAGTCTTCTTTATTTTCTAAAACTTCGTGCCAAGTCAAACCAGGTCACTCTTTGTGAAACGGAGGGAGTATAGAAATGTGTCTTTTTTTTTTTGGACTGACTAAAAAGGAAAGTAAGTCACATAAATTGGGACAAAGGAAGCAGTAGAAATTGAAGGATAAAAAACTACTCAAGCAACACTCCTACCTACTAACCTACTACTCTAATTTTTGTGTCCTTCACAATCTCCTATTTAAGGTCATATTTTCAATAAGTTGAAACTGAGTCATGTGTGGCCTAATCACCTTTCTCCAATACTTCTTCGCCTACCTCTCTACCTATCCTGAAACCATTCAAAGTCAACCTCTCACACCTTGGGGGCATCCGTACCTCTCATCTTCACATGCTCAAATCATCTAAGTCTTGTTTCACACATTTGTCCTCCACTGGACCACTTTCATCTCGTCTCAGATATCCTTATTTCTAATTTTATCTCTCCTTATATACACACATCAAACGCAGCAAAACACGATTTTGTAAATGAGAAATTTGAAGATAGACAAACTTGACAAGTACAGCTTCCAAGTCTAAGGGATATCAAACAAATACATGTGGATGTGAAACAGAACTTCTAAAATATTTAAAAAGGGACAGCCCGGTGCACTAAAGTTTTAATCTTATAAAAACTTGAATCGGTGACCTCCTAGTCACATGATAACAACTTTACCAGTTACTCCAAAGTTCTCTCTTGCAAATAATGCCCTTCGAACAATATGTGCAAAAATCTTCAAATTACAATACAAAATCTTAGACCAAAGGTATTTTTGTTATCTGGAGAAGTTTTGATGATGAAATCAGCTGCTTTTACTACCAGGAGAAAAAACAGAAAGAACAAATTCCCACAAGGAAGACAACACTTGGTGTCTTCCTCTGAATCTTCGTCAACCTTGTCCGAAATTCCCTCTGTTGCTTATTCATCAGAATCTCTTTGTACAATGGCCGGGTTTACAGTAACTGTAAAGCGAATAATATTGAGAGATTATCGTAGTTGGAAACTCAATACAATGCAAATTCACATATATACTTCGAAAATATTTAAACATACTAACTAACTTCGATTAGACAACCAAATTTGATCGTAAATCATTTTACTTACCTGTGTTATCGAAGGCATAAGCTTTAAGCAGGTTGTTTCCCAAATCTTCCTGCTCTTTTTTAATCTGCTCAGCAAAATTCACAAGGGTAGGAGAACATTCATGCAACTCAATTAACTGTAGTGTCATACTATCCGCGAATCCTCGAGGAATCTCTTCTAAATGACGGCAATATCTGATAATTACGCGCTCAAGGCATGGGAAATAATCATCAGCAGCTCTCCAATACATGATGTCCAAATCGTCAAGGAGAACGAACTTCAATGCAAGATATCCCATCTCTGTGACTTCCCACATTGCTTCTGAGCCTGAGCCCACTTCAGCATAGAAGGCACAAACCTTCAATTGGAGCACCTCGAGTTTGGGCAACTTGCTAATGATTGTCATATCCTCCCATGGTAAAAAAAGTGTGACGAAGTGTCAACTTTTTGAGATTTTGTGGAAAGAATCCGCACACGGAAGCCTGAAACCTGAACATAACAAGCCATAGCCACCAGCTGCAATTTTTAGTGCCTCAAGCTCATGCAGATGTTTTAGATTATCTAGCCATTCGGGCTCATCAAAAAATTCATCAGCACCACCAAGAACCCCCGATTTTTTAACATTCCTAATCCTTTCAAATATTTCCTTTGTACAACAAGAAGGATTCAAACCAGAAACATTTAGCAAATTTTCCAAAATCGGGTGCTTAGCTGATATGTTCCGAGGAGGATATAAGAACATGGATGTACAACGAAGATACCTCAACTGATACACTTGCCAAATTCCAATTGGTAAGGATACGCTCCTTTTTAGTGCTAGACGGGGTTGAGAAACAATGAGAGTTTCTAAATTCCAAAAATCGGCAAGTGCTAGATCCTCAGGAACATTATAAGCTGTCAATGCCAAATACCTTAAACCAACTAGGTGTAGTATTTCACTAGGGAAATAACTGAATCCCACCGCCTCCAAGTCCAACACTCGAAGAAGTTTAAAATGACCCAGGCTGAAAAGTAAATCTGGCCATAATTCATCGGCAGAAAAATGAAGAGAACGTGTTTTCTTATGAGTAACATCATCAAAATGAATATGACGATAAGTACCATCTGAACAAACTGACATCCAGTGACAACCTTCAGGAGGAAACTCAGGTCCAAAGGATTCGCGATATATAACATAGGAATACAAAAGCCTCTCCCCTTCAGCTTCTCTCAAGCATAAATCATGTAGAAGATCATGAATTCTACATGCCTTGATTGATCCTGTCAAATTTCGTCTACTAACAACAAGAAGATTTTTATCAATAAGATCATGTAAAAGATTAGCAGCCACTTTTTCCAATCCCTCGAGCCCCTTTAGCTCTATGAGTCCTTCTGCAACCCATAATCTAATCAGTTTCTTCACAGAAATCTCTCTAGCTTTCGGAAAAACTCCAAAATACAGAAAACAAGTTTTCAAATGAGATGGAAGATGTTTATAGCTCAAAGCGAGCACTCTTGAGCAATGTTGATAATCATCAAGGTTTACTAATAAGCTCATACTTTGAGCTACTTTCATCCACTCATCAAGTGTCTTGCTAGAAAGAAGACCTGCAACCACAGAAATCATTAGTGGTAATCCTTTGCAACTTTCTACAACTACCTTTGCGACGTTATCAAATTCATTTGGACAATCCTTTTTGCCAAACGCCTTTTGGCAAAACAAATTCCAACTTTCTTCTGGCTCCAGGAAACGCATTGGAAACGGATCCTTAGGAGAGCTAGCATATTGAGCAACATTCATGTCCCGAGTAGTCAACAATATTCGACTTCTATTATTGTTTTCTGGAAAACATAATCTAATGTCATCCCATGCCTCCGTGCTCCATATGTCATCCACAACAATCAAATACCTCCTACTCTTTAAACTTTTTTGCAAGCGATCTGCTAGATCTCCATCGCTTACCTTATCAAGCTCTCCTTTCACCCCAATAGCATCTTGAAGGAGACATAACAGCATCTTTCTTAAAGTGTAGTCCTTGGACATAGTAATCCATCCACGAACACCAAAGAAGCTCAGCACTGAAGGATCATAAAACATTTTTTTGGCAAAAAGTTGACTTACCCATACCACCCATCCCAGCAATAGAGATCACTTCAAGTTGAGATGAGTATCCCATAAGTTGACTCCTTATGAAATCTTGTTCAATGTTGTACCCCACCATATCATTCTCCAACATTGAAACATGCGATCGTGGTGAGCTAGAACCACCAAGTGAAAGACTTCCAGGTTTCAAATTGTTATTCTTGATCTGCTTGATGAGCACTTTCTTGACAGACTCAACGTCTTCTATAGTTTGTTGCAACATCTCAAGAAGCCTCTTGTTTGCCTTTGTTCGATTGTGTTCATCCTTCTCTATAATCAGTTGTTGTAAATGTGATTCAATTTGGTCTTCTGCTTCATGTGCTAGATCTTTGACTTTCTCTTGCAAATCATTTGTTGGTTCGTTATCAATATTGTCAAGAAGCTCTTGCAGAGAGCTAACCTTTTCGTAGAGTAATTGCAAATGTTCTTTGTGACTCTCCTGAAGGTCCAAGCGAGATTGTGGAAACTGATGTATTGTTCCCTATCAGAGAAATTACAGCAGCATAAGCAGCCATATCTGCAAAACAGAGATCTATGCAAAATTTGTGAATAGTTGGAACTTAAAATGATAAATAGAGACAAGCACTTGATGGACTTAACTGCAATTTGCAAATTAAGTATGGCAATTGTTAAGTCAACTAATCTTTTTATATTCAATCTCACCTTCCCTGAAGCAACACATAAGCAGGGTGGGGATATATAAAAAGGAAAATAATTTTTTTATTATTAGTTACTGTCTCCATTGACTTGATCAGTCTCTGAAAAGTTGAATGTATAATATATCTTTATATCAATCTCTAAACTTAATTTTAAAGATGGAGGTTAACATGATTGGTTTGTTTACTGAGAAGCAAAAAGAAAGAGTAATACTTGGTTTTATCTTGAAAATGTATTTTCAATTATTTGGCTTTAATCTCTTTCTTGAATGTTAACATATTGTATCATAATATGAAAAGAATTAAAACCAAAGAGCCAACATTAACAGTTCTAAGACTTTTTCTGAAGCTTTGATCTGTAGATGTTAAAAGAGAACCTTGAAACAATGGTAAAGTCATCTCCACATGACCTATAGATCATGGGTTCAAGCAATCACTAATATTTGTGTTAGAATAAACTGTCTATATCACACCTCTTGGGGTGTGGTCCTTCTCCAAATGCTACTGACGTGGAATATTTTGTATACCAAACTGCCTTTTTGATTTTTAGATGCTACAACCGTTACTTAAAATCAAGTTCAGGGTGCTAAAATGATGCAGTTAGCAAGTTATCCAATTATTAGGTATCTAAAACGAATTCTCCAAAGAAAAGGAAGACACCGAAAGAAATATTAATCAACATTCAACACTAATGAACTCGTTTCTACTACAATGCAGAGAAATTTTTAACCTGGAAAGGTCCAACCATAGTGAAATAATACCTTAAAAGCCCAAAAAAAGAAAAAAGGAAAAACAAAACAGAATGACGAAAAAAATTTAACAGGAGACCCCCCTAAAATTTTCAATTTTTTAAAGGGAATTTATCTTCAAGTGAAACAGATGACATGAACATAAAAAAAATGCAAAGAAACAAAACCCAGCCAAATCAAAGATCCAAATTAACAAATTCAAAACTTCTTTTGGATAAAGATTTCGAAAAGCCGATTATCTTTGAGAGTCTTCTGTAGCCTATGACTGTCCAAATTTATTCTCTAAAGCACAAATATCTTCAGCAACTTCAAGCTAACAATACAGGAGCACTACTACTATAAGAAGGAAATTCAACTTTTCACTTCATAACATCTATGGCATGTACACAAGGGAAGAAGCAGGGCATTTTGCTGCTCAGAAACATTTTTGGGATCGGCTTCCCAGGGGTATTGGTTTTTGACTTATTCTTTTTCAGAAAGTATAAACCCAGGCTAAGCAAGAATTCCATAATCCACTGCCAGGTCAATCAGGCCCTTCGAACTGAACAGTTCCCTCGAGCATACGATTTGCTCTCTGTACAGGATATGGACTCTCCGATGCGCTTGCCAAACTAAAGTAGATACAATGCGAGCATGGAACTTTTTGCATATGTTTCGGTGAAATGAAAATAGACATATTCAAGAATAGAACTGCATCCAGCCATGCTTTTTCCTGGAGAGCTCTCAGTAAACAATTCTAGGTACAACAGATCCACTTTCTTTGTGTTCTTTGCCCTGCATGAAGACGTACAAAAAGGAAAAGCAATCATGCTGATGATTCCCTAGCTCCCGAAGTATTGAAAAATCTAAAGTAACAATAAACTCGAGGAAAATACAGACAAAAAGGTAAAGAAAGATTCCAGCTTTTAACAAATGAAAACAATCTCTACTCAGCCAGAGATTTTACCAACCAACCGGAGCTTTGCAGTTGCTCAAATGATCCATAATTAGAAATGCATAAATTCCTCCCACCCCACCTTTTTTCTAAAACAAATGATATACAGATGTACCCTCAAGAACTTTCCCTTTCCCCCACACACAATCTCTCCTTTCTCCAAATTGAGTACACAACACCGTGTGGATACACCTCAAGAGTGCTTCGAAAATACAAAAAATCTATTGAAAATAAAATAATATATGTCCCACTCTTGACTCTTGTAACTTGAGCTATATAAAAATGTTCGACAGCATCTTGTTGAATGAACAAATATTTTAAGGAAAAAAAAGAATCCTGATGAGATTTATAAGAGGTCTCAAAATGGAAATTACTCTCCCAAATTAATTGCCACAGGACTAACAGGTATTCTCACAAGAAGTCTGTGTAAGCATTCAAGGAACAAAACAATCTTGCAGAAATTCCATTTAAATCAGTACCAAGATGACTCATAATTTTTTGGTAAACAGACTGACATTTACCTTCTCACCCACTATTTTACGCTGGGTCACCACACTACAAACCCTGCAAAGCCTATGTAATGCTCCAATAGAGTTCATGAAATTCAACTCAAAACCCCTAACATCCTACAAGAAATCTGAAGCATGGGTTGATTCTGTACCTCTATGAAGCTTTCTGAAACCAGAAGACACAGGATGGAAAACTACAGAGTTCACCTGGTAGAGTCTTGTCGGAAATTCTTCTAGAATAGGGACTACTTCTAACTTTTTTTTCTTTCAGAAAAATAAGGAATCGTGCAATCTACCCATGAGAATCTCTCCATCTGAACCGCCTGAAACTTAGAGAAGCTCGGTAAAGAAGAAATCTTTACTTCATTATTCAAAGAGCCACCCTTGGTTTCCAAGAGAGAGGCTTAGGCTTTATGTAGTATTGTTTAAAATGTTAGGATCACAAGTAATTGAGATTTGGGGCACTTTGATTTGCTCACAAAGAGAAATCTTTATCACTTGTCAGTTCTAACTAACCTACTTCTGAACCTAAGCCACCACCCAAGTACCAAAACTTCACTGACTGAGAAATTGTCATACGAGCTTGAAAGAAGTTGAAATACATTAAAACTCAGGAAAATGTTAACTACAAGCAATGATCTTTACAAAGCTTTACGAATCACCAGAATTGGTAGCTTGTTACATTGAAAAACATCAACAAATTGTAAATCAAACAAGCAATGATCTTTACAAAGCATACCGACTAACTCATTAGCAACTTTAAAGTGCCAATACTCACCTCATCTTCGTCGTGAGAATCCTCCATCTCTTCGATTCTTCTCCATTAACAAAGCTCTCTCTCTTCCCTTTTCCTTCCTCTCCCTCTCCAACCTCTCTTGTCGCAATTCCTCCACCGTCTTTTTCCCATTACTCTTTTTCACAGACCTTGAATAATCATTATCTTCGTCACTCTTTTCACTAGAATCCTCTTTCGGTTTCTCCAAATACCAAGGCAATTTCGTTCCTTTACCAACAATTCCATACCCTAACCTATACTTCTCATCCTCCGGAGTAATAACTCTCGGTGGTTGTTCTTTCTTCGCTCTCTTCTTATCCCTTCCGTCTTTCTCCTCATCTTTTACTTTAACTGGATCAAATATTCGAATCCCTTCGAACAAGTTGATGTGGTTAGAATCCTTCTTTCCCGGTTTCTCCTCCGGCGATTTCTGTTCTGATGACGATTTTTTGACGTGACTTGACGATGAAGACGACGGCGCTGCTGCAGATGATAAGCCACGGGCTTGACGAAGCTGCTCGAGCCGATATTCGGAATCGCGCTTGCGAGATTGTTCCTGCTTGAGCTGTTCCTCTTTAGCCGCGGCTTCCTCGTCTCGCTTTACTTTCTCACGGTTATCGAAGTTGTACACGTTCCATCGCTTCTGTGGGAGAATGTTCAAACCTCCATGGCCTCCCATAGCTTGATTGGTTTAGATCTCTGGAACAACAGACGAATGAATTGGGGAAATTGATATCCCTAATTTCTGTAATTGAAGTTTATCAGGAGATCAATATCGTGTCGGTTCCTGGCTCAAACTTGCTTTATAATGGGCCAAGCCTGACGGTTTACAGCACTGGCCTCAGAGCCGGGTGATTTTAAACTTTTGACCTTATTTTATGTTTAATATAAGTTGGGAAAATTGTATAAAATAACAAATTGTTAATTTAAATTAAATGTTATAACCATAGTTTCATTTAATTATAATCCGTAGCAAACAATTGTCATTCGCCTCTCTCCCCAACGAATCTCGCTCGCCACTCTCCCTTGCCTCTATCACTTTATACAAACACAAATGTATAAATTGCGTTTGTGTTTGTATAAAACGAGAGAAAACTGTATATACAAATACAAATACAAATACATATATTTTCATCATATAAACTTATAATTATACAAATACAGATCTTCCCCTACCAGTTCTCTAAAGTCTTTCTTTCTTCCTCGCTTTATACAAACACAAATTATACAAATTACAATGTATAATTTGTGTTGTATAAAGCGAGAGAGATTTGCTATACAAATGTTTTATTCGATTCAATTGTATACAAATTCAAATTTTATGCAGATATACAAACACAATTATTGATACATATACATAGTAGTTACATATATACAATTGAATCGAGAGGCTGCCAACGATTTATACAAATTTGATGCTCCATAGCAAACTTTACTATGGAGCACAATTATACAAACTATAACTATAACATACAAATATGATTTTTATTTTGCTAAACCTAAAATTTACTCTAATAAGTTTTTTTTATTTTTGACCTTGAAAGTTTGTTCGTGGCGCAAATGAAAAAGTCAATCCAAGTGATTTGCAAGAATAACCTCCTTTAAATTTTTAAATACATGAGCTTGCTCAGTTGGTAATAAGTTTTGCCGTAAAAGTTATGCATGCTGCTCAATTGTTCGAAAAGTCAAAACAACTAAAATTTATACATAGCTCCGCCCCTGGTTAGGGTGAATTTACAACATAGGGAACATGGAAATGAGTGTGATGGCATCATTATCATAAGTATCTCATGTCCTCTCCCACCTCCAAATTTCCAAGAATATACAAACCAAATGGACATTGGCACCTCAGCACAAGACAAACATCAGAAACCATTGCGCCTTGCAATTGACATTGGCAAATCCTACTCTCTTTTCAGCAGTGCTTCGAGAATGCTTCTTGAGTTTGAATTTAGAATGTTGTTAGAAAGTTAAATCATTTATCGGACAGTAGCTCAGCAAGCATCAACCACAGACGATGATGACAAGTAGTATAGCAGCTTCAGACCAAATCTTCAAAGAACTAAATAACACATATGTTCGTACTGCTCGTGATTTCTGATGCATGCATGGTACCTTGCTGCTCAACTATTCAGAAGATGAAGTCGCTCAAAGCATAGCTCTCACTAGCTGAGTGTTTCTTTACAATGTAGGAACTGTCTTCTACACCTGCACTCAAGCAATTTATCCTGTGCCTGTGGAGGTAGCTCTTGTAGTAGAGTTGTGGAGAAGGGGTATTTCAAAACATGCAAGAAATTATTAAAATTTATTACTTACCATTCAAAGTGATCCTCACAGCAAATAGAATTGCAGATAATTGAAAGTCCAGCTGCTTTCCTGAACATAGCAACATAAATTAACTGCTTATTTACGAGGAATAAAATACTTACCCCAGGCACTGAACAAGTTTCAGAGAGGTGATAACTTACGAATTGGATTCAAGAGAATTTTAAATGTAACATGCTATACAACAGACATCTTTTGAACTAAACCACATTGTGATGGAATATCAATCATTTTATCAAGACATTAGAATAAGTTGTCTTAGTTTTTTATACAGGAGAAAAGTTATGTTTCCCAGTTGGGATGGGTCTTATGAAAGGGGCACCAATAGCAATTATCGCTCTGTCCCTGGGACCTAAATTCTTGAATTTGAGAATTTCAAATGACAATGATATGATCTGGTGTTCTAATGAGTAGGAGTCACTGTCCAGTTAGCCAACACGATGAAGGGAGTGGGTCGGGAGTTTCCAGTCGATTACTGAGTTGACCAGCCTAGTCATGCTTTCATAAAATATATCAGCATCATTAGATGTAACACCATCACATACCAAGTTGCAGAATACATATCGTAGAACTTGTCAAAAGCCTTATCAAAACAATAGTGACAAGCTAAAAGATCCTTGATGTCTGTCACTCTGCACGTAGATTTGCAGCATTTTACCTATGTTTAATAAAGATTGCATCATTAAGCATGTCAAACATACAGGTAAATATGATAAACTCAAGCTATATATAAAAATATCAAGAGCAACCAAGATGGTGATAAAAGTAAAATCAGTGTCAAATATAAATCAATCAACTATACGTCAATCCAAACAAGTTGGGCTGCCAAGGAACACAACACAAGGACTTCGTAGGGGATCACCTACCCTAGTACTACCCTCTCCCATGAATGCTTTGGTTTGGAGTTTGCATCCCTCACATAACTAGATTACTTTTACATTGGCAATCAACCTATAGCAATCCTCCTTTAGGGTGTGGGAATGGGTATACCTGGCAAATCTCTCTTAGGAGGAGTTAAAAATCAGAAGCAGTGATTCAGAATGCTGACAGACAAAGAAACAGGGAGTTCTGCTTAATCTTAGTACTATGATTATATGACTTTGCACTGCAATGGTATACCATATTAACTAAACTTTTTTCATGATGCTCCAAAAGTAAGTATAAATAAACTAAAGCTTGTATTTATTTAATACTCCAATATTATGTTTTGGCACAATTGATCTTCAACAAAATTGATAAACATCCTAATAATGACTAAAATGCAAAAAAATATAGTACTATAACAAGAATTAGAAGCCTTAAACTCTTCATAACTGTCACATTTTACATGTATGTACGCTATGAATCATAACTAAAGACAAATTGAAATTACAGGAACTAAGATAGGCAAAGTTTTACCAAACGCTTGAGCTTATAGGAGTAATATTGTCGGTGAGAAGGGTGTCCAGTAATGTGTTCTCTCAGGTGACCTGCACTGAGATCACCATCGATAAAGATTAATCAATTCTCCTTAATTACAAATTGAATAAATCATAAGCTTCACTGGTTAAGAAGGCCAAGAACTGTGATGTTCAAAAGGTATCAGAATTATAAATCCTAGCATCCCTTCAGTTTCATCACAAAATCCCAGCTCCTCATTTGAATCCTTATAGGTTATGTTCAACCATGATAGTAGGGGATCTTTCCCATTATCTCCCAATAAAAGAGAACAGATTCTTTAAGAGTCATCTGTCACGTTGTCCCATGAAAGCTCAAGCAACATGTATAGACCTACTTTAGGGGTCACACAGAATGAGGAAGGGAAAAGGGTGGGGGGATTCCAAACTAGGAGAAGGCACCAAAAATTATGCCATCCTAACATGTCATCAATCCCTTCTGGTTTGAGCAATTTGATGCTGTCAAAAGAGGTGGCACGTGAATTCACCAAGCAATATAGCACATAAAGCTGAGCTCACTTCAACTGCTGCTAAATTACCTGTCACAAAAGGTATTACTACAATCAAGACACATGGCTAAAGTAGTTAATCTTCGGCAGGTGTTACAGTTAGCATCCAATGAGCTTTTGCCAATTTGATGGCATCTGCAGATAAAGAGAGACCAAAAACCAATATTAGTGATGGGCCTTCATATTCGGCATAAAATGCATACATTTAACTGTTACATATGTGTTCTTTTGCCACCACTGTTAATTTATTAGAATAGTTATGTGCTTATTACGTGTGTTTGTTTGCATAGAAGCTAGGAGAAGAGCCGATAACTTGGAATTCGCAGGTAAACTGATAACTTGGAATTCGCGGGTAAACAATTGATAACATAGGGCTGTCAATTGTGTTGATTATCTTGAACCATAGTTGCTAAATTGTCCAAAATTGGTGGAGAGAAAGAGCTATTATCTCCTTATATCGTTTTAGACATTCCTCAGCTCGGTTGACTTAGCCAAGATCTATTTTCATAACAAGATATTAGAGTCAAACCATTGCTATTCTTGATATACCTGATGTCAGGCCCCCCATGGAATGTTGTTCACATTCCAGATGTCTAGACCTTAGCATACGGGGCTAATTTGTTGAGGGAATATGTTGTTGTGACCATACATGATCTTAGGCAATTCTCATGTCATGAACTAACTTTTGAGGTTGAGTTACGCCCAAGGTCCATTTTCTAACGACAGTGTATGGAGGATACTCATTCACACACAAAAGTGTAGGTCAAGACACACCAAACATATAAAAAACAAGCATACACGGTCAATGTACTCTCTCCTTCTTCCACCTTCCTTCGGCAGGGAGGAAGCGGGAGGCTGCTGTATTGTTGCAGGGATACAAATTAAAATGTAGTAAACAAGACGAAACTTAAGAAAACAAAACTACAAGGAATTAAGGAACCTTTTATACAGTTGCAGAAGCTCTTTGGATATACTGGGTTTACTTTGAGCCACTTCCACCTGCGTAAGGCATTACTAAGAATAGCATAACAAAATATAACTAGATTCCGACTGGCTTATTTTCTAAGATCTTAAGAAAGGAAGTAGAACCTGTTCGCTGGATTCACCAGCTTGACCAGAGGAAAGGGGTAGAACTTTTGATGCCATGATCAAACAATCTTCAGGAAGATGACCGGGCCTCTTACATTTCCAACTACAGCAGTGAAATTGTATTTTAGAAAAAAGATCAGGAGCACAAAACCAGGCACATTTGACTTTTGATCATAAAGGTGGTTGCCACATCCAGCACATAGTGTAATTATCCTAGTCCAAGCAGAGCTTGATTGCTGAGAATGACCATCCAAATATAACAGATCAAAGTCTTCGGTGCCCAAGACCCAATCTAGAGAGATTACTCATCTTCAAACTGAATGTCAACAAGCTTACCACTCATAAGTACAAAGAGCAGATCTATTCTTGGACCATCGATGACGGTCATAATCCCAGATGTTGCCTCCAGATCCAGGAACCTCCAATTTGCATTTTTGTCCAGAAAAAGTCTCAGCTTTGACTTTGCTACTTAAGCCCCCCTAAGACATTGTCAGAGAAACAGTTGGAGTTGAAGAAGCAGGTATCTCATTCATACGTATATAAAAGTATGTATAGCTCAAATGTTTTTTTCATTTTTTGGCGTAACAGTATAGCTCAAATGATTTACAGATTGGGTGCGTACTACATATCCTAAATCCTGACCAACATATTAGAAGCTCTAGTGTTCAAGACATGGGTCCCTTTAAAAATGCTGAATTCTTATCGGTTTAGACTCTAACATTCTCTAACGAATTAAAGTAGTACAAAAACACTATAAAAATATAAAAATGTGTCTAGCAAGGGAATTAGCACAATCAGGTCAGCTGTTTTTTGTTCCTTTTGACAATTGTTGGCTCCCCGAACTTGTTTGGGACTGAGACGTAGTTGTTGTTGAACAATTGTTGGCTCATCGAGTTTCATAGTTAATTTCTGTTATTAGGTTTGAACTTTTTTATTCGAAATTAGTATAGTTTCTCTTTGAAATATTTTCAGAACCCATATGCATAAGAAGTGCTAAAAGAACATGCATCATTCTGATTTATAAGTTTCTATTTTCATTATCTTTCTATTTCTTCCTAGACTTCCAAATAACTAGGTATGTTGTATGAAGAGAAATAAAATCATTTTATTCAACTTCACCTTACAATAGAGTAGCCAGAAAATTCTTAGTTCATTTGACTTGTTTCCTAACAGTTGGTTAAATAATACAGTCTAAATTGAAATAGAGAAAGTAAAAAAATTTACCGTCATAATTCTGTCAATTAGTAAGGTCTCTCAAATATCCAAATAAAATACTCTTGAAAAATAACATAATCCACTTTGGAATGGAATCATTTCTTCAGAAAGAAAAAAATGTATTATGGTAACATATCCAATCATAAGTTTAAGAACTTTTATGAAAAATAAAAATGAGTTCTAGATCATAGAATCTAATGTAAACCGACAGATTCTTATTTGCTACTAAACATTGTGATCTTTCTACTTGAATTAATATTAAATGCTAAAATACTTAAATATGTAGTACATCTATCTAAGAAAGAGAAATTAGACTAATTTACTATATAACTTTATTACCAAACTAAATATGAAGAGTATCCTTTCCAGGTTATGTATATTTATTCTATTTTACAAAATTTTCTGTCACTTCATTATTGAATTATTGTATTACCTATTTAACGAGTACATAACCTATTTTCAACCAGACCTCACTTTGTGCGATTTCACTGGGTATGTTGTTGTATTATTTTTTAAATTGGATTCTTATAAACTCCAATTTAAGAGTAGGAATCTTGGGGGAGGGGGGAGGGGGGAGGGGGGAGGGGGGAGGGGGGAGGGGGGAGGGGGGAGGGGGGAGGGGGGAGGGGGGAGGGGGGAGGGGGGAGGGGGGAGGGGGGAGGGGGGAGGGGGGAGGGGGGAGGGGGGAGGGGGGAGGGGGGAGGGGGGAGGGGGGAGGGGGGAGGGGGGAGGGGGGAGGGGGGAGGGGGGAGGGGGGAGGGGGGAGGGGGGAGGGGGGAGGGGGGAGGGGGGAGGGGGGAGGGGGGAGGGGGGAGGGGGGAGGGGGGAGGGGGGAGGGGGGAGGGGGGAGGGGGGAGGGGGGAGGGGGGAGGGGGGAGGGGGGAGGGGGGAGGGGGGAGGGGGGAGGGGGGAGGGGGGAGGGGGGAGGGGGGAGGGGGGAGGGGGGAGGGGGGAGGGGGGAGGGGGGAGGGGGGAGGGGGGAGGGGGGAGGGGGGAGGGGGGAGGGGGGAGGGGGGAGGGGGGAGGGGGGAGGGGGGAGGGGGGAGGGGGGAGGGGGGAGGGGGGAGGGGGGAGGGGGGAGGGGGGAGGGGGGAGGGGGGAGGGGGGAGGGGGGAGGGGGGAGGGGGGAGGGGGGAGGGGGGAGGGGGGAGGGGGGAGGGGGGAGGGGGGAGGGGGGAGGGGGGAGGGGGGAGGGGGGAGGGGGGAGGGGGGAGGGGGGAGGGGGGAGGGGGGAGGGGGGAGGGGGGAGGGGGGAGGGGGGAGGGGGGAGGGGGGAGGGGGGAGGGGGGAGGGGGGAGGGGGGAGGGGGGAGGGGGGAGGGGGGAGGGGGGAGGGGGGAGGGGGGAGGGGGGAGGGGGGAGGGGGGAGGGGGGAGGGGGGAGGGGGGAGGGGGGAGGGGGGAGGGGGGAGGGGGGAGGGGGGAGGGGGGAGGGGGGAGGGGGGAGGGGGGAGGGGGGAGGGGGGAGGGGGGAGGGGGGAGGGGGGAGGGGGGAGGGGGGAGGGGGGAGGGGGGAGGGGGGAGGGGGGAGGGGGGAGGGGGGAGAGGTGAAAGAGAATATAAGCAGGTGCCAACGCTTGTATCATCGAGTTAAATTAGTTTTTTAAGTATGGTGAGTTAAACTAGTGCATGAAAAAGAAAATAATTCAAAAAAAATGCGGCATAACTGAGTCTGAGCGTTTCTTTAAGTTTGAATGAAAAGTTGAACATCTCAACTCTACATTTGACCATTTCTTGGAAGTTTAATTGGTTTTATTGAGTCTTACTGTTTAAACTTATCTACATTTAAAACATATCAGAGAGAATGAGAACTCGAATAATAATTAAAAAAAAATCTCAAAATGACCCAGAATCTCTACGGCTTAACCAATCAATTTTCTTTTACCTTTTCTTTTGCATATACCATTTTGAAAAGAAATAGTTAAATCCCAAATCATTACACATGTATCCATGCTGATCTATATATATACAAATAGAAAGAACAAATACCTGCTGGAGTTTAAGATTTTGCAGAAGGTCAGATTTGCAATCCGTACTGCAGATGTCTTCTTCAGTCTACAAGCAAAGCAAACAAGGATTTGGGGTTCGTTAAGAGAGGAACACAAGGTACAAGCTAACAAAAGAGAAATAGGCCCGTGATCCAGTGACTGACCTCATCACATATATATTCCCCATACTTCCCACATACCACACAAGCAGGTTCTCCTGGAAGAGGAAATCGCTGCTCACTGCGAGTTTTAACTCTATCTGTTTCATTTCCACTACCTAAAAAAGTTAATGGAGAAAATTAGGTAAGAGAAAATGAACGGAAACCTCTTGAAAGCCATAATAAAAAAGCTGTTCGCAAATTTCAGACTTGAAGATAAAATTTATTAACAATCTGTCAAGGGGTTTCGATGTGGTGGGAATTATATTATATAGATACAATGCCAGATTAGTAGTTAATGGATTCCTTCAAGAATATTGAGTCAAACCTTTAAAGATAGGAAAAACATCTGTTCCATGTTGCTAAACACCTTTTATGGCATTCTTTCCTTGGATGCAATCAAAAGGTGGCACTATACTCAATTTGACTTGACGAATAAAAAGTCTTATACCTATGCATATATCTGCATAGATATGTATATCTACATAAACAGACACATCTGTATGTATGGACATATATCCCTTATGAAAAATGCATGGACAGAGATTTGATAGCAATCCAGAGTGGTGAAAATATAGCAATGCTTTTCTGTATTTGGTATTTTCCGATACAACAACAAAAACCCAGTAGAGTCCCAAAAGCGGGGTATGGGAAGGGTAGAGTGTACACAAACCTTACTACTACCTCGAGGAGGTAGAGAGGTTATTTCCGGAAGACCATCGGCTAGAGTAACAAAGAACAATACAGAAGTAAAGAGGACATAGAAAATGATAAGGAAAACATGAGATAACATATCAAAGAGGGGGAATAACCATAACAAACTAGTGTGATAACTAAAGCACAGTAAATAACGAGGAATAACAAAAGTCATAAAATAGGCCAACTACAAGACAAATGCTACTACTACTGGTAAAAAAATAAGAATCGGGAAACAGATACAATGCACCAATTTATCCTGCTAGGAAATGAAACAAACTCTCAACTACCTACTAACCTTCTGCCCTAATCCGCAACCTCCATAACTTCCTATCTAAGGTCATGTCCTCGGATAGTTGGAGTTGCACCATGTCTAGTTTTATCAACTCTCCCCAATATTTCTTCGGCCTACCTCTACCTCTCTTTAAGCCCATCGTGGCCAACCTTTCACACCTCTTCACTGGGGCCTCTGCGCACCTCTTCTTCATATGCCCGAACCATCTCAATCTCTCTTCCCGCATCTTGTCCACTGTAGAGGCCACTCCCACCTTGTCCTGAATATCTTCATTCTTAATCTTATCTCTACATAATTGAAAGAAATCTCCACTTGCACAAGAATCTCCTATAATATCCTCCATTATGATAGAAATCAACGATTATTTTACAATGGTTTTCGAGTAGTGTGGAATAGGATAACCACCAAATTGGCATGGAATAAGTTCATTGTTAGAAACAATGTTGGAAAGAAGAACAAGTGGATCTAGTTTCAAGAGAATGCCTTACTCTAATGGGAATATAGTTTCCAAGTGAAGGAAAGTAAAAAACATATTTTTATTTTGGTTTCCTGGCCAGTGTCCAGTACTCGCATCGGGACCCGACTAAACCAGATTCATGCCATGTTAGGCCCATTTAAGGGGGAAGCGGTCCCTAACAAATTGTCTTCCACACCTAGGGCTCAAACTCAAGACCTTTGGTTAAGGGTGGATGGATCCTATCCATCCCACCACATAACCCTTTGGTGAAGGGAAGTGAAACATATATGTAATGTCCTAGTTATCTTGCCGGTCCATTATAAACCCTGACTGACCAGAAAATCTTTTAGAATGAGAAAGAGCAACCAAAAGGTTGTTCCATAGATGACTCTAACAGAAAGTTTTTAAAGAATGAGAAATCCAACTAAAAGGCTATTCCATAACCAATTCTTGTTGCCGAGTTGAAGGGGATATGTAGATGCATTATGTATAGACACATATTCATACAGATGTGTGTATGTACTTCTACCCCGCATGACCCTTATAGATACTTCAGATGAAAAGAATACATAACTAGACAGTATACAAAATCACAAAGTAAAATAAATGAAATTCCAGTTCTGCTAACCTTTAACCAGTAAAATTTCAGTATTCGGATAAGGATTATCCCCCTTTTCACATTCTGACGAAGTGCTCGCATCACCTGAACAATTCATGAGCATTTTTTCATGAGCTCAGTCTTGGCAAGAAAAACTTCCTACTCGTAGCTCATTCAAGTAGAAGGACAAAAGGAGAAAATGGGAATTAAAAGATTCAACAAGTCTAAACTTAAGGGATAAACACGATTGACACATAGGAGTACTTTTTTCCTGACAAGTAGATGAGTGATATGTATCTAGACCTCATAAAACATATACAAAAGAAGAGAAATGACTCATGAGAAAGAGAGAGAGACTCCCTAAGTATGACTGATATTTTTCTGCACAATAATTAAAGGATAAACAAGGGAAGTGCAGAGAAATGTCAAAGATGTTCAATTTAGCAAGTATATGTAAATGATAGTCACCAAAGTATCCAGTACACAAATCCTTGCTCTTAGCATCAGTAAGAGGAACCCTCAAAATACAAAGATAAAGTCCTTTTAAAAGTCAAACTACTCTTTTCCAAATGAATCCATATAACACAGATGATGGGAACAGTCAAAAATATGGAATTCTTAAAACAATCAAGGATACTTTTGAGTTCAAATCAACACACATAATCAATTGCATACCCAAACTAAAATTAAACCTTTTTAATTCATCGAGAATTAACCCAAAAGAAAAAAAGCCAAATGAAGTTCTTACTGTCGTACTCCACCAAATGCAGTGCTGAACTTGACGGTTCCTGGAACAGAATTAGAACCCAAACAATCACTAAACTATAACTGACATGATATTAAACATAATTACAGAACACATTAAAGCAAACAGTTCCAATTACCAACACTTCTGCAGTCAATTCTTCATAAGGCTGAGTTGAAGTAGCCTCCTTCCTGCATTTCAAATACAAAATGATCAACTAACAACTCCAGATTTCACAAGTAATTTTCTCCATTCTGGCACACCCTAGCTTATTGAACTTGAATAGTAAAATCTACTTGATAATTTGAAATCAATACTAAAATCACCTCCTTTTTTCAATATAATCCTGATGAGACATAGGCAAATCAATCAATTCCACTTCATTGTTCTGCTGCACCTTAGATTTCCGTTCCCGTCGGCGTTTCCTGTGGCTGGTCTTTTCCTCGACGGAATTCGTCTCGACCGGAGGCTGAACGTTACCGGTGACAGCATTATAAGCTGGAAAAGAAGAAAAAATACGAATTAAATTGAAGAAAATACAAAACGAAACGATGAATAAGAATTGAAACCTTGAAGATTTTGAATTGCAGAATTGAGATTAAACGCTTTGTTGTATGCGTAAGAAGGGTTCTTGTAGAAATTGCTCCTTGTCGTCATTTCTGTATTTTGCCTTTCTGTGCTTTAAGCTCATGATTTTAAAACTGAAAAAGGTGCTTAAATAATTTATTTTACCTTGATTTTTATTTTTCAAGTGGCCAGAAATTTTAAATACTCTCGTAATATTTTTGGCACAAAAAGCTACCTTTGAATATATTTTATTTGATTCAAACGCTAGATAGGAAATCAGAAAAAAAAAAACTAATTTCTTATATTCATTTTGATATCAAATATGATATTTAAAAGTATTATTTTTACTCTAACCAATGATTTGAAAGGTATAAAGAGGTATAAAAGTAATTTAATTAAATAATTTGTAAATTATTGCTTTTTTTGAATAAATATCAAAATTCTAAATGATATTTTATTTTGTATTTAATTTAGTGTATATTCATACCGAAAGAAGAAACTTTTTCTTAGTAACTTGTAGAAATTAATTTTATTTGCAAAGTCAAAGACAACTCCTAACAATTCTTCTTCAAAAACATTATTAAAGGACATTTTGATATATTTAGTTAGTCCTTTAAATTCAACTATTAAAAGACATTTTAGTATATTGTACATATTATTAGTTTAAAACCACAAGATTCAAAAGTATTCTATCATATTTTAAATTTTGTATCAAACTAAAATCAGACAGATAAATTGAAACGAAGGGAGTATTTGCTATACCTCCATATACAACCCTCCTACCATCTTTGAGCAGGGCCATGGAAACTGACTTCTCAAGTTGTTGATTATTAACATCAAATAGATGTTGGTAACTTATCAAAAGAAAATTCTAGGAAAATATTGCCAACAAGTTTTACTCTTTGAAATGGTTCACTAGCACTTGAAAAAAAACAAAGAAAAAAAGAATTCCAAGAGGAACTGGAATCTGTTATCCAGTTCAAATTTGGAGTGATGGTTAACAGTTTTCCACGAGTTAAGTCCCATTTGACATGGAAATTTCCAGTGAATGTCACATCAGATGTTGAAAGGCTTGGTCTTTAGTATCTATATACTCACTTCATTAATTAGAAGTTTCAGATTCGAGCCTTGGATATGAAAAAATCCTTTGTAGGAAACATTTTCCCCCAAATGGGCCCTATGCGGTGCAAAATCAAAATAGTTGGACTCCAATGCAGGACCGGACATTGGGTGGAAAACCAAAAAAAAAAAAAGATATACTCAATTTGTTTGTTTTACTAGTTTAAAAAAGAGATGTCTTTTTCCCTTTCAACAACACTTTAATTTGAACTTTCCGCAGGACATATTACAAGATTAAAATACATGTTACTACATCTACGTATCTTTAGTTAATGATCTCAAGATTCAAAATTTTTCTTTTAGTATCTTAAACTTCGTGTCAAGTCAAAACCAGACAATTGAATTGAAACAGAGGGAGTAGTAACAATCATTAGAAGGAAAGCATAGAGAAAACACTGAACATAGTGATTTGTGGTGCTCTCTTTGTGGAAAAGTCTAGTGTCACTTTACATCAAATTGTCAATCATTTAATTCAATTGAAAGCTCAGTCATCCTTCCATGTTGGTTTCAAATCACAAGGCTAAAAATACAGATAAACCATTTGATGTAGCTCTTCATATTCTTGCTCCTGAATTTAGCATCCACAAGGGAAATAGGAGTCATGGTGAACATGAATGAGGCGTCGTGTGATAATCCTTATTGCCATATCATCACCAACGCATGTAACAAAAGATGCTACAGCGAATCATTCAGTAGCCCAATGCCAATGATCGGTATCTATGTAGCAGCAGCATCTCTACTTTGTATCCTTGCTATGGCTGCTGATGCTTTCCAAGCCTTCCGCTTAAAGAGACTTTGGTTCCCATGCAAATTCTTTGCTCTGAATGCTGCTTCTCTTACAGTGTTAGCTGTAGCAATGAAGTTGCCTGTCGATATATCTGAACCGATGCCAGGTCATACTGACCAGCTTTCCAAACTGGCCAGCACTGCTTTCATGTGTGTTGTAATAGGTAACTTCATGCCATCAATAGGAGCCACGAGTAACAAAGAAATTTTGTCGAACGTTGTAGCTCTGGACATCCTGGTAATCACAATCATTGTCAATCTATGCATTGAAATACATACTGGTTTGATTGTTAACCTGAAATATGAATTTATAGCAACTATATTCCTCATGTTTCTTCTGATATTGGTACTGAGTTTCTCCTCTTTAACACTTGCAACCACCAAAAAAATTCCTGAACTTAACTATAAAGAAGCATATCAAATTACCTTGAGGAATGATGCACTAGCATTCGGAAGGTTGTCCATCGATAGACTGAGAGACACTGTGGAGAAGCGTTGGATGATGGTCGAAACTAGTAACCCTCAATTTGTGATGGCACGTTCTGTAACCTTTTCGACTTCAGGGACAATCTGTGTGTTGGCATCTCTAATTTTGATGGAAGCTCTTATAAGAATATATAATTCACCTCCATATTTCCCAAATAGTTCAACATACAAATGGACAACAAGCTTAATTCTTATTGTTCAGTCTATTGGGGTGGTAGTGAGTACTTTTGCTCCAGCACTCAGATGGTTTATCTGTATAAGCTTCAAGTGTTCCAACAAAACAGGCAATGCCAATGCTAATTTCTTTAAAGTCGAACACTAGTGGATCCGAAAGCTGATTGAGTGGAAGGAAAGACCATTGTCTTTAAACATCAGGGGAACAAAATTTAGAAAATATCTTCTAGGTACAAGAAACTTAATTCTTGCCTTCTGCATAAGAAGTCAGATTCTGGTTGTGTCAACGAGCAAATTTGTGCGGTTTGTCTCAGTTGTTTCCTTCAACTTGATGTTTTTGTGTCAACTTCAGGGCCCAAACTATCATCAATCAGAACCAGAACACAGAAGAGAGACTGAATTGCACCACTATGTTCTGTTACTAGAAGGCGAAGAAGAACTTCCTGAAAGAATCTTTTAAGAACATATCTGGTAATGCAAACTGACTATAAACACAGCAAGGAAACGACAGCCAAAACAACTGGTTAATTTGTTAAGAAAGTTTAGCAGCTTTTCTGGGGTGGCAGATATTTACTGCCACCAAGTTCCAGTACTGCATTCAGTAGAACCTTCAAACTACTGGACCTTAGGCCTAGTGACACTCACTAGCATTACTGTTGCACTTCCCAAAGTGAGAGATCAGATGGACTATCGCCCTTATGTCTCAAATAACCTAAATTGTCAACTTGCTTGAATTGATCATCCATATCTTGTTATACTGAGGATATGAATTCTCCCTGTCACAGAATTTAAGCATTCAGGAAGTCGCACAACTTTTAAGTAGGATGACCCTTGGTGATAAAACCACTAATTCAGGAAATTCAGTCACAGACAGGAGAGTTCTACATGGGATCAGAAAGAAAAAAATTCTCATATCACATGACACCTAAACTGAAAAAAAAAGTGTTCTTCCGTATTAAAAACAATAAAAATTGGTATAAGATGAGGGATGAGGAATAGCAAGAGTTGAAACAAGACAATCACAGAGTGGTTGTCGACCTCATCTCATTCACAGGTTAAGTCTCAAGAGTTCTCAATTGTTGCAGTCATGACACGCATTTGACGAGGGCGTTCAGGCTCACCATTTCGCCTCCAGAAAGACCTTCTCCACCAAATTTCAAATCCCCTCTGGATATTTGGACAGTCATCTCCGGAGTTCAAAAACCGATCAAACCAAGACATCAGAATATCTTGCTGCAACGCCATTGGTAGGGTCAGAATAGTATTGCTGAGACCATCCTCAATTAAATGCCGATCAAGACCTCTTGATGCCCTCCTCATCCATCCAAAATCCTCATAGAAAGGCACTAACCATGTCTGCAAAAGAGAGCACCTAGCATCCTTGGAAGCTAGTAATTGCCCTTTACCAATACCAACAAACAGTCTAGCCGTGACTCTACTAACCTCATACCTATGGAGTGCAGGCACCTTAGAATGTGCCTCAGATAATTCAGACTGAGAAGCCCAAGTCCTCAAAAAATCTTCAGCTATCTGTCGATCAATCAAGATATCCAAAATCCAATGTAGATTATCAGCCTGTCGTGCAATCTGACCCACATCCATCATGTCTGCATCTGCTGCCCGTAAAAAATGGTGGCGGAGCAATTGCAGGCATGCATTGCAAGCTGAATACAATGACTCCTTCCTCAAATCGTTATGAGATGAATTCTCATGCAACATTTTGGATACTAAGCCTTTCATCTCTCGTCTCGCCTTCTCATCTTTCCCTTCAAGAACCACATGCAATAGCTTGAGAAGCACTTCCTCATTCCCATTTCCACTCTCTGTTCCCGATGCAACATCAAGAGATACCCTCCTTAAAACTTCCCCAGCACCTACTCCTTCAAGCCGAAGCTCAAACAACAGTGAAGCTACCTTTTCTTCTTCATCCTCAGCCCAAGGAGCAGCTTCCAAGTACTCCAGGCACGATAACACCCCCGCATCGAACCCAATTGCAGCAGAAACCTATAAAACAATATAATCGGCTAAGGTAAAATACAATTGCACATTTCTATTCACCCTATGGGTCTGAGCATAAAGACTAGACCATCTCTAAAAGATTTCAATATCCTAAAATAAAGTAGCACAGAAAATCAACTATTCCATCACAAAGCACATTGCAATATATTTGCAAGCAATACAGATGCAGCCACATGAATTAACTTTTGGACACAAACATATATGCATGGGCTAATGAACAAAGACGATAACTTTGACACCTAACTTCTATTCACAGTTCAAAATTGAGCAAACATATACTTAATTTGAGGTCACACATCTATCTAGCAATGTGATTTCAACAATAATCAACCAGGAGTCAATTCCAAATCAGTTAGGTCGGCTATGTGAATCCTCTATTTCATAATTCAATCACAATTTACTTTAAAAAGAACACATTGTCGCACAATTCCGTTACTAGGCAATTATACAACACAAAAAAAGTAAATTTAGATGCATAGGCATTACCTTTAAGATCCCAAGGACTTTGGAAACATCTACCTTCATGAGCCTTCTCCTCAAATCCTTGCAATACATCAATCTCAAAGTCTCAATATACACTTCAATATCATCACAATCCGCAATCTCAACAATGTAAGGACTTGAATTTCTTTGTTGCTTTACCCATTTCTCCGACAACTTCACAGCGAAAAAACGACTATGAACCACCAAGATCTGCCTATGAACATTCATAGCAACACTCAAACCATCCTTAGAACTCAATGTTAACTTCACATCACTCGAACTCGAATCATTAAACTGATTCCCTGGGCTTCTACAAGCTAAAAGATCCAAAAGTCGCTGTTGCATTAACGCCTGTTTGTCCAGTGGAACAAACGAAGCCGGCTTCTGATTTGAGCATCCATTCGAAATGGGTGTGTTAATTGTCGATCTCGTAATACATTCAGGTTCATTCGCCATCATTTCGAAAAGGGTCGGACTCGAACGAGTCTTATCCATAGAAGGTGGCGGTGACATTGGGTTCAGCAACCCCGCAGTAAGCGCTGAGTTGAATTTACTAAAAGACGACGGAAATCCTTCGTGGGTGTTGTTATTTGGGATCGGAGTACCACCTCCTCCACCGCCGCCGTAAAGGGTACCGATAGATTCCATTACTCGAGGGAACGTCGTCGGCGAGTATCGGATCTTGGTATTATCCGAAATCGAGGAGGAACAGGAGGAAATGGGTTGCGGCGGCGACGGCGACGGCGACGGCGAGGGTGATTTAGAAGCAGGACAACACCATGAGTTGTCCGGTGAGACAATAGTGGGTGTATCAACTTTACGAGTTTGGTTGAGGCATTGTGTCGAACAGTTGGTGGGCGAATAATGTGAAGGGTTAGTAGAAGTAGTAATGGTGGTTTCACGGCAACGTCGGCGTTTGGGTTTAATGGGTTGGATTTGGAATTTGAGATTTGTAGAAGTAGAAGTAGAAGTAGTAGTAGTTGCACTTGCAGCCATATGGTAAAATCAGGGTGGGTCTTGGTAGTAGTAATATTTTGTGGTTTTAGTTTGTCTTTTAGGGCCTAAAATCTCATAGTATTCATCGTCACACACATACATATGGACAACATCAATAAAAATGGTGGTTGATAAACCTAATATGTATCTGTGTTGGTGAGAGATAGCAGGTATCACGTGTAATAAGTTGGACTAAGTGTAGTGGTTGATAAACTTGGTATGTATCTGTGTTGGTGAGAAATAGCATGTATCATGTGTAATTAGTTGAGTTAAGGTTGATAAACTCGATAGTACAGGTGTTGGTGAGAAATGGTAGGTATTACGTGCAATTAGTCGAGTTAAGCATAGTGGTTGATGAACTCGGTACATACATGTGCTGGTAAGGAATATCATGTATCACGCGTAATTAGTCAAATTCAATGTAGCGGTTGCTAAACTCGATAGTATTAGTGAGAAATAGCAGTTATCACATGTAATTAGGAGAACTAAGCAAAGTCGTTGAGAAACTCAGTACATAATTACATATCTATATTGGTGAGAGATAGCATATTAGTAAGTATCACGTGTAGTTAGTCGAGCTAAGTGTAATGGTTGATAAATTCAGTACATACATGTGCTGGTAAAAGATAACATGTATTACGTGTAATTAATTGAATTAAGCAAAGTGATGGATAAACTTGATTGTGCCTGTGCTGGTGAGAGACAGCAGAAATCACATGTAATCAAACTAAGCATATAATTGATAAACTCAGTATATACTTATACCGGTGAGCTATAACAAATATCACATATAATTAATGGAACTGTGTACAAGCTGAGCTGAACAACATAATCATATAAAAAGATAGTGGCTGATTCAAAGGTTTTAATATTACTATATGTATATGTTGTTGAATGTCAAAGTGAGATGAGAAAAAAGGGATGGGAAAGGTATAATGAGCATTGAATGAAGGAGATAGAGTGGCTTTAAATTAAAATTTGTTTTTGTTTAGATACTATGCTTTATTTATACGTATGGATATGGGGTTATCTTCATTACTCTTTTATCAACTTTACGACACAAATTTGGGGACCATTTAGAGTGAAATGACTACTAATTTCAATCATATAAATAAAGTTGATAATGACATAATGGATAAATTTTATATTCCAATATAGTATTCGAGGCATAACATTTGTTACAAAAGAATATTAATATTATCATTAAATTATTACTGTAAAAAAACATTTAAATATTATTCAGAGAAGAATGACTCAGGAAAAATAAATTTATTTACCTAAAGTTTTGTTATAGAGTTGTTGAGTGTTAAACAAACTTTTTAGTTATTGTTATTGAAGATTTTAAGTACTTGTTGAAAATAAAGAAGACGATTATTATTTATAATTGGAAAGAGACGAACAAATGTACAGATTTTTTTAGTGAATGAAGATTTTACACACATAAAAAAGAATTGACAATATGAAAAAATGTAATTAACGAGATGAAAGTTTTTTCTCAACTGAGTCAAACGATATTATAGCTTATAACTTATGAACGACTTTTAAGTAGCCTACATAGTATTTTTCAATGTACCGAAAAAAATTCAAGATTAAATTTTATCGATCATTTAACCACTATTGTGTAATAACAAAGCAAAGCTAGAGGGACGGAAAGGAGTTTATATATATATTACATGTTGACACTCTTCGATTCCTATGAAATTTTGCTACTTTATATTTTGACACCCCTTGATCAAAATTCTGACTTCGCCATTATATATATATATATAATCTTTAAAAACTTGACAAGAGACAGAGAGAGGGTCCTCCCAAAAATAAACCCCACTTGAATTTAATTCTTTAATTGTGTTTTTTTTTTCTTTACCCCCCCCCCCCCCCCCCCCGCACCCACACCCCTTCACACAACAACAACTCCCTTTTTTACTTTTTTTTTTCTCCTACAAAATCAAAAACTAGCCATAGATTTGTGCCAGTTGTGAATTCTCAGTGCAAATTGGTTTTTGATTTTGTAACCTTAGTGGTGAGTTCAATGATCATTGTTTTTGTCACATAGAAGCATAGGACCACAAAAGATCATTATTTTAAAGCATGTTTGTCAATATTCTTCTTGCAATTTAATAATTTATATGCATTCTAATAACTACTACTAGTATTTTGTATAGTTTGAGGTTTTTGAATTAATGTGTATATACACATTGGAAAAGTTGCGATTTTTCCGCACTTAATCAGAAATTTCGAGTTTAAATTTTAAACATGGAGAATCTCTTAGTAAAAACAATTAGGAGTAACCTAGTTTGAGCTTATATTATGGTGATCTTAATTAACGTCGACAAATAGATCAAACTAACATAAACAAAAATCTGAATTTGGTTTGAGCTTGTTGTATTAATGTGTGTGTACATATAAAATATGTGCCAAAATTAATGAATATTGTCAAATTCAATCAAAATGTTGACTCTATCCTAACATTCGATGCGAATAAATATTTACCATAAGGTACTAATTATATAAAGGCATAGTGAAAAGCATTAAAAATAAGACCACGTGATGGTCCCTTCTAATATTTATCTGTCAGCCTTTATGTATAAAGAACTCATTAGGCCATGTATAATATGATTGATTCAGAAAAAAAAAAATTATTCAATTTGTTTCAATATGTTTACCTATTTTTTTTAGTTTATTTGAAAAAGAATTATTCTTTTTCTTTTTAAGCAATTCTTTAATTTCAACTTTCGCATGATTACATGTTTACAATCATGAAATTAGAGGATATTTTGGTACATTTGACATTTTTTAATTAATTAAAACCACAAAATTCAAAAGTTATATATATTCTCTTAAACTTCGTGTTAAATTAAAATAGACCAAATAAACTTAAACAGAAGGGAGTAGCATTCTTAGCTAGCCGGTTAAAAAAAAACGTTCACCCGTCTAGCTTATAGTAGCTTGTAGCCGTACAGTAAAGGTATCGGGTTCGAGCCTTGAGTATAGAAAAAATCTTGTTGAGAGTGTCATCCCCGAAGCATGATTCGAATTTAGTCTAACTCTAATACAGACTCTAAACATCGAATTGGAAACAAACAAAAAAAGCTTATAGTCGCGGTTGATGTTTATTAAGTATATAGTGTACAAATTGAATATACACCATATACTTACTTAAGTTTATAAGAAATATAAAGATTAAATATATTTTTTGTTGTGTATTTTATTGCGTAAAACTTATTTAATTTCCTAGGATTGCTTTTTTCACTTTATTCAGTGCTTCTTGAACTCTGAGTATCATGTGCTCATCTGCCCAACACTTATTTATTTATACCAAATTTTGGTATAATTTTTTAAAAAAAGTAATGTATTTTCCAAATTTACAGTTACGTAGCCATATATATATAGTGAAGGGTGGCCAGTCGAATACACTTCACCAAAAAGTTGTACTATGTATATAGAAAACTATATAGGTCAATATTTTTCATACATATATATTCAATCTTGAACAGTCTTAATAAAATTTCTGATTTCGTCACGGCAAAATTGGTACCATCACTTTCCAATTAACTTGCTCTTTTCTGCTTGTGCTTTTTGGGCCAAAATAAAGACCAAAAAGGGCCTAAAAAATTGGTTTCTTAACAATCAATTAGCCCAAGACTTTCTTGGATTGGGCTGAGCTAATATGAAAGAGTTTGATATGTGCAGCATGAATTAGGCAAAACTACCGAATTACACAAACATTCCAACCATAATATTTATTAATTCTCCCTATAGTTTAAAATAATTACATTTTATATCACTAATTCATAATTTTGTACCGAAATTCAAGTCGGATAAACTTAGATACATGTATTTTTGCTACCAAATATAGATACTCTAAAATAACAATCATAGGGAGGAAGCAACCACAAGAGAAGGAGAGAGGCAAGTGGAATAGGAGAGAGATGCACGAGATTGGAGGGAGGCGAGTGATATAGGAAAGAGGCTTAGCGAGAGAGTCATATATATGTGAACTCAACTGGATATAGTGTATCTAGAATAAATTACACCTAATTTTGACTTGATGTATTCGAGATACATTGTATCTGGACACGCACGGGTACATGTATGTAGAGACCAAAATCTAACATGAATGATAATTTTAAAAACTCACGAAAAGTCACATAATTAAGTCATAAAGTAGTGAGATTTCTAAAAATTATTCAAAGAAGGCCTCACTTGGTTTCAATTAGCCCAAGACTTTCTTGGGCTTGGGCTGATTTGCTTACTGAATAATTTTCATAGATCCTAATTTGTTTTCTTATAAATTTGCATGTCTACTTATTTTTGGAATAACTTCGTAAAGTTTCATATGATAAAGTTCAACCATTTTTATATAAAATTTTAAGTCATTTACCCCTAATTTTCATGTAAAAATGTATAAACTTCGGACATATTCAACTGCATATACGGTATATATAAAGTTATTTCAAAGTGAGCAATAACTTGGGAAAATTGGGAAGGCTATCTTGCTGTTGCTTCATAGTGAAGGACACAATGACTTGGTTGATGAAAAACTATTCGAGAGATTATCCATTACAATAGCAGATATACTAAGTGCTTGCTTCACTAATCTGCCACGAGCTATCACTATGGCTTGTAATTCTGGTGCCATTGAGGAGAGGGAAAAAAGTGTGCACAGAGCAGCTTTATTAGTTGGTAAAACCGAAGAGATCTTGAAGATAATTCAACATCATGAACTTCCAAATATAAATGCTGATTGTTGCTCCCAATTGCACACGAAAGTGTACGCAGTCGCGCAAGTAATATAGTGGCTCTTAAAAGAATCAGATTATCGAACCCAAAGGACTTGTCAATTAACTATTTTTACTAAATTATACCGATCTAATTACTTATATAAGAGAACCAAAAGAGAAGAATGCAAGAACAAAATAATAAAATTACTTACAATAGTTGGAAAATCTCAGGGCTGCAGCATGTATTGGATTTCATGTATCATATTTTTGGCTTAGAACTAATTTTAGTTGTCAAGTTAATGGTTTATAGGGTTAATTGTAGGAGTCGGGCTACACACCTCTAGTCGCCTACTCCAGTTAGTTATCTAACTACATCGTTGAGCGGGGATAAATAGACTAACTGGCGAGCATTTATATTTCATCTTATTTCGTAACCAAGCAAGTTGTTCGTCCGGGCGTCACTCCTAAACACAAATCACCTCAATCAAATGGGTCGATCGAGCTCTCTATATTCTCTGGTCTATCTAATTCCTCCTCTCTCGATTTTAAGATTTAGACAATATATTTATCTTATGGTGATCAAATATAAAATACTAAAACAAGAATATAGAAGTAATTTATAAAGACAACCAAGAATTAATTCAATAACCTTAAATAATCAACATTCAATTCGTAGCTACAACCCAGAACTAGGGCTTAGCCACTAATCTCTAAGAAGAGAAAGAAGAAGAAAAGAAAACCCTAAAAAGTATTGACGACTTTATACTTTGATACCCTCTAATTGGTCTTCACCTCTGCCTCCTCTCTAAAATAATTATTTCTATGAACTATTTATAGAGGTAATAAAATAATTGAGTCCAAATCAAATAAGGAACCCAAAATCAAACGGAATTGGGTTTCCTAGTTGTACGCGTGAACTGTCCAACCGCCTCAATTCTGCACGACTTCAACAATCTGAAGGTGTTCCACTGCTGCCACGTGGAAGCATTCTCTTTTCCTATTTGAACTTTGCAACTTTATATTTTATACATTATTATATTAAATTTAATCCATTAAGTTGTCTGCTTGATTTCCTTCTTCAACATTTCATATTTAATTCGTTTTAGCTCCAAACTTCTTCATTTTTTCATCAATTTAATCCTACAAATAAAATACACTATTAAGCACAATTCATAAAATTCATGCTCAAAAAGGACAAATATAAATAATAAATATTAGGTAAATAATGATTAAAAATATGTATTTTTGGCCTCACATCACTGATCAATCAGCTTATATTGATCAGTGGAACCTTACAGTACGCCAGCCAACAAACCTTGTTCCTGTCATCCCTTTCAACAGTGAAATACATATCTGAGCTATATACCTAATCATATTCAGATGGTAAGTTACATATCCATGAGCTATCATATGAGTAGCAATGTATACATAACCAGTACTTCCATAACTACCATGGTATTTATCAAACTATGCATGTCTTAGAATAATTTAACTTAATGAAGATTTTAGTTTTCCAAGTAGTTTTTCTTGAACTTCCATTGGCAGGAACAAGCATATGTATGACTATATGTGACTTGCTTGCGAATATTACGTTCAAGTATTTCCAAACGGACTCTCTAGGCTTACTTTCCAATTACTGATTAACTGCATTTTTATGCTTCTAAAGTGATTAATTCTACCTAGTTGAACAAGTGTTGCAATTCTGATGTTTTGAAAGGTAGACTTCATCTAACCGATAAAGAATACCTCAGAGATCTTCTTATCAGATAATAGAATAGTGACTTAAGAATATGTATAGCATGTTTTATAACTTATTTGTCCCAAATGTTAAAGATAATATTACTAACTAATTCAGTGGATTCACCACTTGCTTTTCATTTAACAGATCTGGAAATAGAACCAAAGTCAGCACAGTGAGCGCACTAATAGCACTCGATGATCCCAATGCTTCTCTGTGGATATCTAGCTTACAGTTCTCTGATGTTTACTTGAGACAAATTCAGCTGTAATAGTTTAGATGATCTAATATATTACTCCATGAACTCTACAGTGGATTGTTGTAGTTTCTGTTCTATTCCTATCTATTGTTTCTTCTACTTCCGTTACTTCATGTTCGGGACTGCTTTGGATTGTTTTTCCTTGAGTCGAGGGTCTATCGGAAACAACTTCTCTACCTTCGAGGTAGGGGTAAGGTCTTGTACCTTCCCCACATCCACTATACTGGGTATGTTATTGTTGAACTACACAGTGGATTCTTATTTTTTGCTAACATGTTGTTATGTCTTACCCCTACCTTTGAGGGGATAGAGAGACTGTTTCCGGAAGATCAAGGAAGATGTGAACTGAAAAGTCAACCCATTTCCCTGGACAGTTTTTTTTTTTTTTTTTTTGCAGGGGTGGTTGGGGATTGGTTTGGAAAATGGAAAAAAAAAGAAGAAAATTAGATATGGGAGAACTTGACCGGCACTAATTTCCACAATCCAAAGATAATAATATAACAGTTCAAAGTCTCCTTGGTTATAATTTCTGTTTTATAATACCTTTGAAAACAAGCGACAGTAATGCAGTAAGATTCTACAGAGAAATATTATTTTCTACATAAACACTGGTCAGTTTTGGACCTATCAACTTAGTTAATTAACATAGTCAACAATTTATTTTTTAAGTATTGTCTACCTAGACTAGCAGACAATCTTAGCAACCACCTGAGAAACAGTCAGATATGAGGTTCAAAGAAAACCTTAAAAATTCTATCATATCCCACTATGTTTCACTAAAAAACTCATGTCAAAGTCCTGATTCATCTCGACTTGCTGACATTCTAAACAGCCTTTAATGTGCGAATTCATCTATGACCAAAGCAAGTAAATAGCTCAAATGATAGTGAAGATGTTTATTAGAAAGAGTAAATCTTGGAAATAGCTTGAAACATAGTGAATGAAACAAATAGATATGGTTGTACCAAAAAGAACAACCTAGACAATACTCAAAGGAAATATATCAAATAGGGAGTATAGAACCTCTACCATAGACAAAGATTTCAGCTTTAAGCAAGAGATAGCCGGTGAAGAGACTGAAGCATGATGGGGAAGATACGTTGCACCATAGATGGAAACTTGAATGACTCAGAATTCAGCCAGCCAATGCCATGGATTGGTGTCTATGTAGCAGCAGCTTCTGCAGCTTGTGCACTGGGGATGGCAATGGATGCTTTTCATGGACTGCGCCACAGAAAATTCTGGTTTCCTTGCAGCTTCTTCTCTCTCAACGCTACAACCTTGACGCTACTAGCTGTTGCCACCAAGTTGTCTGTTGATCTAAATACATCCATGCCTCATCAACAAGATCAGTTGACAAAACTTAGCAGTGCTGCTCTAATCTGTACGGTAATTGCTAATTTCATGCCTTCTTTAGGTCTCGTGGAGAATAAAGAGCTGTTGATGAACATAATGGCTTTGGGAATTTTCGTTATCACAGCCATTGTGAATATTGGCATACAATTAGCTACTGGTGTAATCTATGTTTTCTTCAAAGAGCATATAGCCTTCATGTTTCTCATGCTTGTTTTGCTTCTACTACTGATCTCCTCAGCTGTGACAATACCAACTACAAAGCATTATTTGGACCTGAAATATAAAAAGAAGTACAAGTTAGCAAACAAAGAATGCAACATCATGGATACATGCACAACTGAGAAACTTAAGTACGAATTGATGAAATTTTGGACCATGGCCTATACGTCCTGCCCTCATTTGGTTGGGGGGCGCTTAGTAACATGCACTGCTTCTGTAGTTTTTTGCCTTATGAGCACAGGAATTTATGCTGATGCCATGTTTAGGTCATACATCCTCCATAAGAGCTTCAACTTTTGTAGTGGAGACTCTGAATACAAGTGGTCCACAACCTTGATTCTTGTAACTCACACAGTGGCAATAGGAGTAGGAGCTGTTGCACCAGCTTCTAGATGGTTCAGAGCCATAAATTTTGACTGCCCCAAAAAAGCAAATAATGCCTGCAAAGTCAAGTTGTTCAAAGTGGAGAACTATTGGATCCGTATCCTGCTTCAGTGGAAAGAATGCCCATTGGATTTCAGATATTGTGGTCGGCATGGTAGAAAATTTGCTCATAAATCAAAGAACAAACTTCTTGATTTATGTATTTTGGTGCAAATTATGATGGTGTCACTTAGTAAGCTAGTCCAGCTCGTTTCCATTTTCTCTGTAAGCCAGTCACTGATATACTGTCGGAAAGCAATCAAGATGCTAAAATGCAACAGTATGGTGTCGAGTCTCGATACAGGATTGAGGTCCCAAACCAGTTCAAAACCAGATCTTAGCTGCTATGCTTTACACCTTGAAGGAGAGGAAGCTTTAATTGATTTGATGATGCAAAGCAACAGTGATCTGGTAGATCATTGGATTGGGATAGGGGAAAAGAAGCAGCTTAAACATCTTCTACGACTTCTGGAGAAACTGAAATCAATCACCTGGATTCAGAGGAGTGCATGAATTTGATAGTGCTCACATTCCTTCGCTTAACTAGGAAGATCCTCCTAATTGCTGGGCTCTCCCTGTAGTGACACTAACAAGCATAGCAATTGCACTTCCAAACATCGACTTTCATTCAATCAAGGAACTCATCGGGTGTGTGAATGAAGGTCTCATGTACATCAAAGTAGCGGAAGATAACCTGGATGCAAGAAAAGACCTCGCAAATATCAGGCGGGCGGGCAGCAGAATTAGTGTGGTTAGATGTTGATCTATGTTACAAGTGGCTGGATGTGGATCTCCAGAAGACAGCCACTGAAGGACAAAATTCCAAAGACATGCTTGAAGGTCTCTCTGAGAAAGCAAAGCAGAGATTCATCGAATTCAGGAAGAAAGATTCGACTGTTTGTCCAAAGGAATCACCTTCAAAATGGCCTATCAATATGTTGGCAGCCAACAGTATGTACAGAATCTGTCAAACTCTTTTGGTAAGCTCTGATAGCATAGAGTTTGAGAACAGCAAAATCATGTTTGATAAATTGTCAACCATGATCACGGACATAACAGGCGCTTGTCTTACCAACCTACAAAGAGTTATGCAATGCCACCATGGCACCATTAAGGAGAGATCAAAAGGTGTCCGTTCTGCCATCTTACTTCTCGGAAAAGCAGAGAATATTCTGGAAATTCTTCGTTCACAGCCACTTCCAAGTTCAGTACCAGATCAATTGTCAAAAATTGATCATTGGTGTACACTGAGCAAAGAGGAAGACTACCTCTCCTGCAGTCGTAGTTCAACCTCATATTGTACTCCAACTTCCCAAAGTTCATCTGACTTGTATCTAACTGTGGACTAAGAAACAAATGCCACCTTGTTTGGATAGTCGTTACATATTGTTTTATAATGTATCATATTATATTGCATTTGTATTGATGTACTATTTTGATGAATACAATGTTTGGAGAGATTGTATCCTGCTCCTTCGTAACATTATGCTATACATTACCAATTTGAAGGATAAAACATTGTATTTAAACTAACAACACAATACAATATAATAGGTAACAACCATCCAAACAAGCTGTGAAAGTGAAAGAAGAAAAAGGTAGGTTAAGTTCTATTGCAATAGTAACATATTTGTCAACAGAATCATATTTGTTTCACATCAAATCTCCAGCTTGTTCTCTAAATAGCAACTCAATTACTACTTCCCCTTGAAAATACTAGAGAACTATTCCAACTTAATCAACAGTTAAACAAAATCTACGATGATGAGCTACAATAATTTTGATATTTCTAAGCCAATATTATGGTTCATTGTGTAAGGTAATTATTCAATTGAAATAAGCAATAGTCCTCTAATATAGCACACAAAATAACCTGCAATTTCTATTAATTGGTGAATTCAGTCAAAACTACCATACTAGTCCTCCTTTTTCAGTCTAACGTCGTCTTGAGTGTAGCACTAACAGAAAAAACCTCTTTGAATTACAACATCCCAACCCTATAAGTCTTACTTACAAGTCATATAGACCTGCCTAGTACTTCAGATAGAAAAACAGAATAGATTATTATGTATGTTGGATCAGGTAAAAGCAAAAAAATTATCACTTAATAGCACCAAGAAAGTGCTTAAACTGTACACAGACAAAAGTGAACACCAGTGTTACTCAACTAGTACATTTCTGAATGTTGTCTTCAGTAACCACCTGGTTTATACTATGCCCACAACATCTACATTCAGGTTCCTAATCTTAAGTCTACTAATGAATTCTATGGGATCCCTATCAACATTACCAAGCAGATCCCAATTTTAATACGAAATCCTATGAAGCTGAGAAAACAGTAGTGAATTTTATTAGACAGAATTGAACTTGTTCGTAAATTTCATTTAGACATTCGAACCACAATTACTTTGTATCTTAGGTGTCATCTACAAACATATAGCCAGACGAATAGTAGTTGAGTATCTTAATATTCAATGAATAGAAAAACTAATTCAACATGACAGAACCCTAAGAAAAGTCATCAATGGTTAGCTGTTTGATCTAGATTTTTTCAAAGGTTGCAATTTCCAGTGATTTTGGAGTCAAAGACAAGAAAAGTCTATTGAAGAAGATGCAGTCTGAAAAGTCAACCCATTTCCTTGTTGGGTGGAAAGGTTTCCCCTTCTTATTTTATTTTTAAAACTAAATAAGGGACTGAATTATGTGAAGGGAATAACAAATATTGAAACTACAATTCATTGTGGGAAAGACCAGTGGCACCACAAGCTAATAATAGTAAACCTCAGTTCTTTTCATATTCTTTTTGTTTTTTAAAAGTTAGTACTGTGTATTACACTGGGTAATCAGAGAAGGGAACATTGAAAATTCATCTCACAGTATTACTAATTTGGGACCCATCAAGTGAGCTAATCAACATGTCCTGTACTATACGGCTATACCTATTGTCCCACCTTTTGACTAGCAGACAATCCTGGCAACTAGCAACTACTTGGACCCACCATCCCACCCACCCCTATCTAGGGGACGGGCATCAGATAATAACAAATAAAATAACATACTAGTATATGTCAAGTGTACGCAAATCTTACCTCAATCTTGGTGGAATAGAGAGGTTGTTTCCAAGAGGCTTCGAAAAATTCTAGACATGCGTGCTTGACTTTAATACTAAACACATCAGAGGAACCCCTCCAGCAATCAAAGCCAATTATAACTCACAAAATTTCAAATAAGTGATAATGTTGTTGACTTTTCTAACATCATTCAATAAGTGAAATCATCCATGACAAAATCAAGTAAATGGCATAATTTCAGTGAAGATGTTACCAGAAAAAGTAAATCTTGGAAAACACTGGAAATAGCTTGAAAGAGAGTCAAAGAAACAAATAGATATGATTGCAGCAAAAAACCCAGAGTAGATTCACCCCACAAGAAATTCTCAAAATACTCCACCATAGACAGATTTCAGCTTTGAAACGAGATGGGAAAGATTGGTTGCACCATAGATGGCAACCTAGATGACTCGAAATACAGCGAGCCGATGCCATGGATCGGTATCTATGTTGCAGCAGCATCTGCAGCTTGTGCACTGGCCATGGCGATTGATGTCCTTCATGGCCTGCGCCGTAGAAAATTATGGTTTCCTTGCAACTTCTTCTCTTGAAAGAGAGTCAAAGAAACAAATAGATATGGCTGCAGCTAAATACCCAGAGTAGAAACACCCCCCTCAAGAAATCCTCAAATACTCCACATACACAAAGATTTCACCTTTTAAACGAGATGGGAAAGATTGGTTGCACCATAGATGGCAACCTGGATGACTCAAAATTCAGCGAGCCGATGCCATGGATCGGTATCTATGTTGCAGCAGCATCTGCAGCTTGTGCACTGGCCATGGCGATTGATGTCCTTCATGGCCTGCGCCGTAGAAAATTATGGTTTCCTTGCAACTTCTTCTCTCTTAACGCTACGACCTTGACGCTCCTAGCTGTTGCCACCAAGTTGTCTGTTGATCTAAATACATCCATGCCTCGCCGACAAGATCAGCTGACAAAACTTAGCAGTGCTGCTCTAATCTGTACGGTAATTGCTAATTTTTTGCCTTCTTTAGGACTCATGGAGAATACAGACCTGTTGATGAACATAATGGCTTTGGGGATTTTCGTCATCACGGCCATCGTGAACATTGGCATACAATTAGCTACTGGTGTTATCTACGTTTTCAGCAAAGAGCATATAGCCCTCATGTTTCTTATGCTTATTTTGCTTCTGTTACTGATCTCCTCAGCCTTGACAATACCAACTACAAAGTATTATTTGGACCTGAAATACAACAAGAGGTACAAGTTAGCAAACAAAGAATGCAACATCAGCTATACATGCAAAACTCAGAAACTGAAGGACGAACTGATGAGATTATGGACCATGGCCTATACCTCTAGCCCCCACTTTGTTGCGGGGCGCTTAGCAACATGCACTGCCTCTGGAGGTTTCTGCCTTCTGAGCACAGTAATTTATGCTCAAGCCATGCTTAGGTCTTACTTTCTCCATTCGAGCTTCAGCTTTTGTAGTGGAGAATCTGAATACAAGTGGTCCACAACCTTAATTCTTGTAACTCACACAGTGGCAATAGGAGTAGGAACTATTGCACCAGCTTTTAGATGGTTCATAGCCATAAATTTCCAATGCCCCAAAAAAACAAATAATGCCTGCAAACTCACGTTGTTCAAAGTGGAGAACTACTGGATCCATATACTGCTTAAGTGGAAAGAATGCCCGTTGGATTTCAGAATTTGTGGCCGGCATGGTAGAAAATTCGCTCATAAGACAAAGAACAAACTTCTCGATTTCTGCATTTGGATGCAAATTCTGATGGTGTCACTCAGTAAGGTAGTTCGGGTCATTTCCACTTTCTCTGTGAGTTGGTTACTGATAAGCTGTCAGAAAGCAACCAGGATGCTGAAATGCAAAAATGTGGTGTCTAGTCATGATATAGAGTCACAAGCTAGTCTAAAGCCAGATCTTAGCCACTATGTTTTACACCTCGAAGGAGAGGAAGCATTAATTGATTTGATGATGCAAAGCAACTGTGATGTGGTAGACAAATGGATAGGGATGGGGAAAAAGGAGCAACCTAAACATCTAATACGATTTTTAGAGAAAGTGAAGTCATCACCTGGATTCAGGGGAGTGCACGAATTTGACCATGCTAAAATTCCTTCTTTAGACACGGAAGAACCTCCTAATTGCTGGGCTCTTCCTATAGTGACACTGACAAGCATTGCAATTGCACTTCCAGACATTGATTTCCACTTAATCAAGGAATTAATAAGGAGTGTGTATGAAGGTCTCATGTACGTCAAACTTGTTGAAGAGAACCTGGATAGCAGAAAAGACCTAGTATACATCAGGAAGGCAGCAGAGTTAGTGTGGGTAGAAGTTGACTTATGTTACAAGTGGCTGGACATCGATCTCCGCAAAGCTGCCACTGAAGGACAAAATCCAAAAGGTGTGCTTGAAGGACTCTCTGAGAAAGCAAAGCAGAGATTCGTCGAATTCAGAAAGAAAGATCCAAATGCTTGTTTAAAGGATTCACCTTCAAAATGGCCTAACAATATGTTGGCAGCAAACTGTATGTACAGAGTATGTCAAACTCTTCTGCAAAGTTCTGATAGCAAAGCGTTTGAGAACAGCAAAACCATGTTTGACAGATTGTCAACAATGATTGCGGATATAACAAGTGCATGTCTTACCAACCTTGATAGAGTTATATCCATGCAATGCCACCATGGCACCATTGAAGAGAGAGCAGCAGGTGTCCGCTCTGCCATCTTGCTTCTGGGGAAAGCAGAGAGTTTTCTGCATATTCTTCGTTCACAGACACTCCCAAGTTCAGCACCAGATCAATTGGGAAAAATTGATCATTGGCGCTCACATAGCAAAGAGGTAGATTACCCCTCCTGCAGTAGTAGCTCACCCTCAAATTTTTCTCCAACTTCCCAAAGTTCATCTGACTTGTATCTAACTGTGGACTAAGAAGCAAATGCCTGAAAGTGGAAAAAGAATAAAGATGCTGCTTAAGTTCTATTGCAATAGTACCATATTTGTTTATTTTTATGCTTTGTATGATACAACTGAAATTTATTTGTTTCACATCAAGACTCTAGCTTGTTTTATAAATAATAACACCTTGAAGGAGAGGAAGCTTTAATTGATTTGATGATGCAAAGCAACAGTGATCTGGTAGATCATTGGATTGGGATAGGGGAAAAGAAGCAGCTTAAACATCTTCTACGACTTCTGGAGAAACTGAAATCATCACCTGGATTCAGAGGAGTGCATGAATTTGATAGTGCTCACATTCCTTCGCTTAACTAGGAAGATCCTCCTAATTGCTGGGCTCTCCCAGTAATGACACTAACAAGCGTATCAATTGCACTTCCAAACATCAACTTTCATTCAATCAAGGAACTCATCGGGTGTGTGAATGAAGGTCTCATGTACATCAAAGTAGCGGAAGATAACCTGGATGCAAGAAAAGACCTCGCAAATATCAGGCGGGCGGGCAGCAGAATTAGTGTGGTTAGATGTTGATCTATGTTACAAGTGGCTGGATGTGGATCTCCAGAAGACAGCCACTGAAGGACAAAATTCCAAAGACATGCTTGAAGGTCTCTCTGAGAAAGCAAAGCAGAGATTCATCGAATTCAGAAAGAAAGATTTGACTGTTTGTCCAAAGGAATCACAAAATGGCCTACCAATATGTTGGCAGCCAACTGTATGTACGGAATGTACGGAATCTGTCAAACTCTTTTGGTAAGTTCTGATATCATAGAGTTTGAGAACAGCAAAATCATGTTTGATAAACTGTCAATCATGATCACTGATCACGGGCATAACAGGCGCTTGTCTTACAAACCTACAAAGAGCTATGCAATGCCACCATGGCACCATTAAGGAGAGATCAAAAGGTGTCCGTTCTGCCATCTTACTTCTCGGAAAAACAGAGAATATTCTGGAAATTCTTCGTTCACAGCCACTTCCAAGTTCAGCACCAGATCAATTGGCGAAAATTGATCATTGGTGTACAATTAGCAAAGGAGACTACCTCTCCTGCGGTAGTAGTTTAACCTCAAATTGTACTCCAACTTCCCAAAGTTCATTTGACTTGTATCTAGCAGTGGACTGAGAAGTAAATGTCTGACATCTTGTTTGGATGGTTGTTACATATTGTTTCATAATGAATTGCATTATATTGTAGTGTGTTGTATTGTTTTGATGAATACAGCGTTTAGATAGATTGTATCATTTCTTGTCACTACATAATGTCATACATCAGCAATTTGAGGATTAACCTACAAGAACGGTAGGGTGAAGGATAAAATAGGATTATCACATAATAAGCAAAGACAAATGAGAAAAAGAAAAAAAAAAGAGAAGGTAACGACGCAATCACACCAAATCGGTCCTGACATAAAATGAGTCTTTTTGTCATTACATAACGTTCAAGTAACAATCAAAACAAACATTGTAAAAACTAACACAACACAATACAATAGATCACAATCGTCCAAACAAAATCTTTGATTAAAAAGGTATGCTAAGTTCTGTTGCAGTAGTATCATATTTGAAAAAGTGGTTTACATGAAATAACATGATGCAAGAAAACTAACCTGCAATACTGTCTTTTTGGCTGCTAAATTGGTCTTAGAGATTGCCAAGTTTTCCTCTACTTGGTCTAATATTTGCTTGTGCTCTTTGAATTCTGCATTAGCCTTATTGTCCTACCCTACTTGTATAGCTCATATAAGAAAACAAACCATTTCGATATAGTAAGATATTTGTATGTTGAGAAGTTAAGACTAGAGTAGTTAGAAAGTTTGTATGTTTTTTGTAGTTTAGTTAGTCCCTAATTTATTCAATATAGTTTTCAGTTGAATCACTCTGAATGTTGTTGGGAAACTTAGCTTTGATCTATGAAAATCCTTATAAATAATTATTCTTTTTGGAACCTCAGGAAATCCGTAGTCGCTATCCTTCCAGTGACAGCATGTGAACCAATAGTAAACCGCGCAAGGCTAACCCGTTGCGACAAGCTTAATTGAGAAGGCCTTGGTAGGAGATATTGATCTCTGGCTACCCTTGCGGGATACACCTGGTGCACCAATTCAGCCACCCTTACGGGTCCTTATAAATAGTTACAATAGGCATTATGTTGAATGAAAAATCAAAATTATCTTCACTCTTGCATTTTCTATTCTTCATTTTCTTAATTATGTATGCTTTACGTTTGTGAATATTTACTAGCTTACTCGCTACAAATGATATAGAGACGACGAACTTACACCTCACTTTAAGTTGCAATGCTCAATATATTCACTGATAGACCAATGTGAACTTCATTTAGATATTGGAACTACACACTTAATCGTATGTGTCATCTACAAACATATAGCCAGAGAAATAATAGCTGAATGAGTATCTTAAAATTCAGTAAATAGAAAAACTAATTCAACATGACAGAACCCTAAGAAAAGTAATCCATGGTTGGCTGTTTGATCTAGATTTATTCACAAGTCCAATATCCAATGTTGTTGGAGTCAAAGACCAGAAAAGTCTACTGAAGAAGATGCAGACTGAAAAGTCAAACTATTTCCTTGGATAGTTGTTATTGCAGGGGTGGATGGAGGGGTTTCCCCTTTTTAATTTTTAAATTTTAATTATTTATTACTAAATAAGGAACTGAATTATGTGAAGGGGATAACAAAAATTGAAACTACACTTACCGTGGAAAAGACTAGTAGTACTACAAGCTAATAAATAAGTAGTAAACCTTAGTTCTTTTCATGTACTTATTTTTTAAGAGTTAGTACTATAATCCACTGGGTAATCAGAGAAGGGAACATTGAAAATTCAACACAGTGTTACTAAACTGTAATAATGGGGTGAATTGATTTGGCTTAGTGAGTGTAATACACTCATTGACCGTGCGTGTAAAAACCTTTTTAGTTGACTTTTTAAAAAAATTCTCTTCTTCTTTCCCATTTTCAGCCACCATTTCTGAAACTTAAACATCCAACTATGGTGAATCAAAACAGTTACCATAAACAATTGAAAAATGATAGAAATTGTTTTAGAAATTTAGAAATGTAACCATTTTAAGATTTACTTAGTAAATTAGTTTATGAGAATCTTTCCCAAAAGGATTGAATATTTACATAGAGGAACCACTCCAGCAACCAAAGCCAATAATACTCACCAGACTTCAAATAAATAATCATGTCAGCGTCCATCTTGCTGACATTCTAATATCATTCACAAAGTGAAATCATCCATGACCAAATCAAGTTAAGTGGCCAAATTTCAGTGGAGATGCTACCAGAAAAAGTAAATCTTGGAAATACCTTGAAAGAGAGTCAAAGAAACAAATAGATATGGCTGCAGCTAAATACCCAGAGTAGAAACACCCCCCTCAAGAAATCCTCAAATACTCCACATACACAAAGATTTCACCTTTTAAACGAGATGGGAAAGATTGGTTGCACCATAGATGGCAACCTGGATGACTCAAAATTCAGCGAGCCGATGCCATGGATCGGTATCTATGTTGCAGCAGCATCTGCAGCTTGTGCACTGGCCATGGCGATTGATGTCCTTCATGGCCTGCGCCGTAGAAAATTATGGTTTCCTTGCAACTTCTTCTCTCTTAGTGCTACAACATTAACGCTCCTAGCTGTTGCCACCAAGTTGTCTGTTGATCTAAATACATCCATGCCTCGCCGACAAGATCAGCTGACAAAACTTAGCAGTGCTGCTCTACTCTGTACGGCAACTGCTAATTTTTTGCCTTCTTTAGGTCAAATGGAGAATAAAGAGCTGTTGATGAACATAGTGGCTTTGGGGATTTTCGTCATCACGGCCATCGTGAACATTGGCATACAATTAGCTACTGGTGTTATCTATGTTTTCTGCAAAGAGCATATAGCCCTCGTGCTTATTTTGCTTCTGTTACTGATCTCCTCAGCCTTGACAATACCAACTACAAAGTGTTATTTGGACCTGAAATATAACAACAGGTACAAGTTAGCAAACAAAGAATGCAACATCAGCTATACATGCAAAACTCAGAAACTGAAGGATGAACTAATGATATTATGGACCATGGCCTATACCTCTAGCCCCCACTTTGTCGCGGGGCGCTTAGCAACATGCACTGCCTCTGGAGGTTTCTGCCTTCTGAGCACAGTGATTTATGCTCAAGCCATGCTTAAGTCTTACTTTCTTCATTCGAGCTTAAGCTTTTGTAGTGGAGACTCTGAATACAAGTGGTCCATAACCTTAATTCTTGTAACTCACACAGTGGCAATAGGAGTGGGGACTATTGCACCAGCTTTTAGATGGTTCATAGCCATAAATTTCCGCTGCCCCAAAAAAACAAATAATGCCTGCAAACTCACGTTGTTCAAAGTGGAGAACTACTGGATCCATATACTGCTTAAGTGGAAAGAATGCCCGTTGGATTTCAGAATTTGTGGCCGGCATGGTAGAAAATTCGCTCATAAGACAAAGAACAAACTTCTCGATTTCTGCATTTGGATGCAAATTCTGATGGTGTCACTCAGTAAGGTAGTTCGGGGTCATTTCCACTTTCTCTGTGAGTTGGTTACTGATAAGCTGTCAGAAAGTAACCAGGATGCTGAAATGCAAAAATGTGGTGTGGAGTCATGATATAGAGTCACAAGCTAGTCTAAAGCCAGATCTTAGCCACTATGTTTTACACCTCGAAGGAGAGGAAGTATTAATTGATTTGATGATGCAAAGCAACAGTGATGTGGTGGACAAATGGATAGGGATGGGGAAAAAGGAGCAGCCTAAACATCTAATACAATTTTTGGAGAAAGTGAAGTCATCACCTGGATTCAGGGGAGTGCACGAATTTGACCATGCTAAAATTCCTTCTTTAGACACGGAAGAACCTCCTAATTGCTGGGCTCTTCCTATAGTGACACTGACAAGCATTGCAATTGCACTTCCAGACATTGATTTCCACTTAATTGAGGAATTAATAAGGAGTGTGTATGAAGGTTTCATGTACATCAAACTTGTTGAAGAGAACCTGGATAGCAGAAATGACCTAGTATACATCAGGAAGGCAGCAGAGTTAGTGTGGGTAGAAGTTGACTTATGTTACAAGTGGCTGGACGTCGATCTCCGTAAAGCTGCCACTGAAGGACAAAATCCAAAAGGCGTGCTTGAAGGACTCTCTGAGAAAGCAAAGGAGAGATTCATCGAATTCAGAAAGAAAGATCCAAATGCTTGTTTAAAGGGTTCACCTTCAACATGGCCTCCCAATATGTTGGCAGCCAACTGTATGTACAGAGTGTGTCAAACTCTTCTGCAAAGTTCTGATAGCAGAGTGTTTGAGAACAGCAAATCCATGTTTGACAGATTGTCAACCATGATTGCGGATATAACAGGTGCTTGTCTTACCAACCTTGATAAAGTTATATCCATGCGATGCCACCATGGCACCATTGAAGAGAGAGCAGCAGGTGTCCGCTCTGCCATCTTACTTCTGGGGAAAACAGAGAGTGTTCTGCATATTCTTCGTTCACAGTCACTTCCAAGTTCAGCACCAGATCAATTGGAAAAAATTGATCATTGGCGCTCACATAGCAAAGAGGTGGACAACCTCTCCTGCAGTAGTAGCTCACCCTCAAATTGTTCTCCAACTTCCCAAAGTTCATCAGACTTGTATCTAACTGTGGACTAAGAAGCAAATGCCTGGAAGTGGAGAAAGAAAAAAGATGCTGCTTAAAGTTCTATTGCAATAGTATCATATTTGTTAATTTTTATTTTATGTAAGATACAACTGAAATTTATTTGTTTCACATCAAGACTCTAGCTTGTTCTCTAAATAATAACTCCATCACAATTTTCCCTATGAAAATAACATAGAAATGTTCCAACTCAATCCAGTGTCAAAATCTGCAGTGATGATCATGACCTACAATAGTTCAGTTAATTTTTTTGAAACTGAATAGTTCAGTTATTTCATTGCCAAATTCTGTTTATTTGTGTAAGCCTGTAAGGTAATAATTATTTATGCAAGCAATACTCCTGTATACACGGTACACAATGTGAGCATCTAGAGAGTTTAGCCTCCTGATACATGACTTTACAAAAAGGCATGCAGTCATCTATGTAATTGGCACATCATACTTGCTCAAAAATATCACAAAAAAAAAAACTTGAAAATTATCCTAATGATACAAAAATATTTTCCAACCCTTCAAGCAATTTTCTGTATCCTAATGAATACAAAAGACTATGACTTCCACTAAGCAGTAAGAATTTAAATCAATTATGAGTTTATAACTATTCCCAGTGAGGCAAGAGTTTTATGATGAAGATAAAGTGTTGTGCTAAACAATAATTTAGTTTAGGTTAAATAATATCCTCCTACCTGAAATAACTACCAACCAATTTCCCAGTCAAGTGCGAAGTTGGAAAATTCCACACCATACCCTGGAAATTACTGAAGATGCCAAAAAACATCCCTTTTCCTCAAAGCTGAAGAGCCACATCACAGTGCGAGCACCAAAAGACTAAGAAACAACAGACTCAACAGCGCGTAACTGGGCACCGCCCTCTCCTAATATAACTTTTATTTTATGGTCTACCCCTCCATCCTACAAACAAAATCAAGTGGGTGTGTGTGGTAAACAAAAGAAAACAGAAGCAGAGAAGAAAAATAGAGATAGTACCAAATATAGAGGAGCACTCAGCGGCTATCAACGTGCATAATTAAATATTTATCAAGTTTCAGGAACCAAGAGGTCCCATCAGTTAGATCATCGAAGAACATAAGCATCTGGAATAACACAGAAGCACACTTTACACACTTTTAAAGAAGAGATTGCACGTAATTGAGAACTTACATAAGAACAGCAGTTTAAAGAAAGCTTCGAGACACGAAAAGAAAATATTCAACACCTATTAGAATACAGAAGATGGAGGAGCATGCTCTGCATCTTTCCCAACACAGAGACGGTTAGCAAAACAATTATTCCATTAGGACCACTTGCACCCTTGAGTCAAATCTAAAATACCCAACCATATCCTTGAGACCACTCCAAGGAAGAATCCACCAAACCAAGCAAGAACCCGAAGAAGTCTAAGAAGAGAGACAAGACATCAAATCCAAACAGATTGCTCCACGATCTAGCCTGCTAGTGCCACATAGGGGCTCATTTGCATCAACATAGAGAAGGTTATTTTATTAGTAAAAAAGGACAGAATTCCTTTAGCAATGTTGTTGTTTTTTGAACAGGTAACATTTTTGTGTATTAATAGCAAAACTAAACGAAGGGTGTGTAGTCCCCCATATTTACATCCAGATGAGCAAAAAAAAACATGCTCCTAGTCCTTAATCTTCTCATAAAGAATCGATTAGATCATAAACTGATTCTAACTCCTCCATTAAGCTATGTTTACACCAAAAAAAGAAAAGCCCTAAACATTTCATCTTTAGTTTCTGTATACTAATGGCTTTGTCTTCAAAACAAACTTGATTTTTTTTCTCCCCACACAGTCCACCAAAAGCAAGCTGGGACAATTTTCCATCTCTCTTTCTGATTGGGGGGATTGGTATCACTGTTCCAGCAATGCTTTTATTTTTGACAAGGTAAACTAATTTCATTTATAATGGGATGAGAACTCTGGTATACAAGTGGTATCCCAAGAAGTACAAAACCTATGTAGCGATAATAGACACCCAATCTTCCATACATATTGGAATCTCATGGGTGCACCAAAAAGAAAGAATCTGACTAGAGGTTGTTGTTCCTCAAATGTACAAAATCGTTCTGTTCCTTCAAAAGCTATCCTGTTTCTCTTTTTCCATACAATAAATGGGTGCTAGTGGGGTGATATCCCACACCTTCTGGTTTCTCCTCATTCTTCTAAATGTTCAGTTGAACAGGCTCCCTCACGGTGCATGCACCACCCATTGAAGTCCGAACCATCTAAAGGTGTTCAATCAAAAGAACAAGCGAGATACTCAATGACAATGTAAAAGGAGGTGGTCCACACCCGAGCTCTTACACATAAAACACCAACTGGTATATGTTATACTCCTCTTCATCAAGTTTCAGCTGTCAAAACTGCTACCAGGTTCCAGTCAAGTCAAGAAACACACCTTCTGAGCACCCTGGATATCTAAATTGATAGATGTGGAAAGGAAGAGTCCTCATTCTTTAAAACTGCTCCAATCCAGATGGGGTCTCACAAACTGAGTGCAGAAATAACTCTCAAGAGTGTCTGGTCATAAACAATAGGAATTGAAGCTTTAAGCAGGGTTTGCATCACCAACCTCGTCCCACTCATTGTAAAACTAGTTCACAAATGGACAGCTAATAAGTAGATGGCAATGCCTAAATCAAAGCTGAGAATCATTTTGAGTACCTACTTTTGCAATTTTTTCAACCAAAGGATCAATAAGTTTTCCAAACTACCAGACACCAATTAGTACTTTGAAAAAGTAAATTAACCTTATGTTACACTCACCCCTTCATAAAATCAACTATTTCCTGCACACAAATGTTCGCTTTTTTACCAGAAAATCATTCTATCAAACATTAACGGTAAGTTTAATGCTTGATGACATGGATCCTAATGAAGCATTTTCAATCAATCTTAATTTCGCAAATGCTTCAATAACACAAGTAGCATAAAACAGTGTCAGCTAGGATCATTGCTGATCCTAACCGCAAGCATACACATTTCCAGAGAAGTTATTAATCTGTTCCCTTCACTGTTTCATCACATAAGTTGCTTCAATAGCCACTTCTTTCTTGTTCAGGACGCATTGCATATCTAAATTACTTGTTAGGGATTTTGCTGTATATATTTTCTGCTTAATCTCCACTGAAGAAAAAGTTGGATAAGTAAATCCTGAAAACTGATGCTCATAGCAGATATCTGACTGTGAATGAGGGAGTTGAAAGATTACGAACACTTCTGCATGACTTAATTATCACTAAATGCGATAAATCGTTAAATTCATTCTATCCCCTTGCACTTTTATGTTGATATAGAAGATTAGAGGTATCAATCGAGAATGAGATTTTTTCTGTTGTCAGCAATAACTGTAGTACATCAACAGGATATAAAATTTGGGGAAAATGTAGTTATCGTTTGCCAAGCAAAATACAACTTGAAATACTCATAACCAGATGAAATTCCTTAGATCAGTGCTAACACAAGTTGCAAATATTTTGATTCTGTTATTGGTTGTATAGTCTTGGAAGTCATCATATCGACAGGGAAATGATTCAGTCAGAGACTCGCACAACAATTGAAATATGGCAATCACAAAAACGCCATACTCAACTTGTTAAAAGAATGGGCTTTAGAACCAGACCTCCCTGTTAGTGGAATAGAGGTCTGCTTTCTACACGCATTTGTTTGTGTTTCCTTTCTATTTATTTAATAAACTTTGGCTAGCTGGAGGTGAAATAAGATGCATAAACTGTGATTGTTAAAGAGGAAATTCCATCCATTTTGTAAGAAAAAAAAAACATATCCATAAGGGAATACTACTGCATGTAATCTCATCTAACAATTACATAAGCTGGTCTTATCCCTACAATCATTTATCCCTTTCACAAATCGCATTCATCTCAGCATATTCTGATATTTGACAGCCAATAAATGAGATATAGGCTCATCGAAATTCACCAAATTCTCATATTTCACAAATCTCCTAACCATTGCCTTTATTATTCACTGGAAAATTTCCTCTAAAGTTTATTCTCTCCATCAACTACGCCTCAATCCCAAATTCAACTATATAAATCCGTATTCACTGCAAAATTCAGCTCTATTTCATTCCTCTATTACTTTTGTATGCACATATTTAAAAGTAGAAAGACATAATTTTTCCTTTGTTTCCACCACCCAACAAGATAGTAATAAAAGGAATATCAATCAAATCAAAACAACTGAAGCAAAATCTCATTTCATTGATAAATCGTATAGATAAAAACATTGACAAAATTCAGTAAACTTCCTCAAATTCCCAAAATTCACCCTAAATCTAATTTGCTAACCCCTTCCCCACCCACCTCACCCCCATGGTTACACAATAGTTAAAAATTCAAACACTAAGCACCTGATGAATGACCAAACGACGCCGTAACGAACAGGTACTAATTATCATCATCCCTCTTCTTCGGTTTGCGATAATTCTCTTCAAAATGCTTGGCGATAACAACTCCAGTGTTGACGAGCTTCTGGATATTGGGAACGTTGTAGTTTTGGGCCAAGTAGATACCCAAACCCGTACCCATAGCAAACGAAAATGTGCTTCTGAAAAACCCCATTGAAGATCAAAAATGTTTGTGTTTTCTTCTTCAATTAACCTTTTTTGGGTTCGATTTGAATGGAATCTAGGGTTTTACAGCAGTTAGGATTTTGTTAATTCTTTGAGGTTTTTGGATTTTGGAGAATTATATAAAGGTTTGCGTTTGAAATTTGGCCCCTTCTCCAAGGTTCTTGCAAGTCTTGCGGAGCAGGGAATGTGGGACCCGTATGGTTCTCCCGGGTTTGGGTTAGGGAATAGTCCAGAAACTTCTAATGGGCTTTACGGCCCAGTAATTGTGAAACTTACAACTTATAATGGCCCAATTCAAATGGGACCGAGGGGGAAGAAAGAGGCCCAATGTCGTTCCTTTGTGCTCTTAAAATTGACTGGTCTTTAATTTTTGCTCCACTTATCTCATATATTTAATTTTTTGTTTCTATTGCTTATTTAAAAAAAAGTTAAAGGATGAAGTATTTTTATTTATGCATACTTGCTTCGTTTGGCAATAGCTTTTGTAACATTTATAGAGTTTATTATCTTCTGAAACTGAACTTTGTTTTGTTCGATATAAATTTTGTATGAATTAAGTTATTCGACATAATATTTGTAGTATTTTATCTAAATTTGTTATAGTGTTTAGAAAGTGAAGTTCAATATTTTTATAGACATATGTGCTTTATTCCTTTTTAGTTGAATAGCGCTCGTGTTTTTTTGGAGTTTGATATGTTTTTGGCCATTTTGTGTTTGAAAGTTCATTTTATTTAGTTTTACTTGAAGTATTGAAGGACAAAATAAGGGCATTTCTGCGAAAGAACCTTCCTTAATTTGTAAAAAGTTTGATGATATCCTATTTAGTGAAATGCACAAAGACCCGTTATGGGTGTTGCCCTTTAATTTATACTCAAATTGATTTTTTTTGTAAGTTTATCTGTTTTACGAAACAACATGAGACATACGTGACTGAAAGTAAAATTTTGTATTTGACTCAGATATTTTTATCTAAAATGTGTTCTTGTGAAATTCAAACATCGAAATCTTTTGTTTGAAGTTTGATAAAATATTCTTCACTAAAATTTTACCTAATTATATGATCTTATTGATTATGTTATTCTATTTAACAAATCTCAAACTAATGTTATTCAAAATGAAAATAAAAGTACTAGAACTCCACTATATATATGTTTTAATTTTTTTCAGCAGGACTAAGAAACTTCTATAAACATAAGAATTAAAGTGAACAAGCAAACATACCTAACACTAATCACAATTAGTTAGTCTATATATAATATTTCTTTCTCACCTGGTGTTCGGTATCTATATAGGCACCCGACTAAATTTGGATTCGCGTAGGAAGGTCTCACATTAGGGATAAAGCGTTCTCTAACAAAGGTCACTCCGTAACCATGCAGACTCGAACGCGAGACCTCTTGATTAAGGATGAAAGAGTACTTATCACTCCCCGTGCAACTCTTATTGGTATATATGAAATACTTGAAAGTTGAAACAACGCAATATAGAATTGAATAGACTTTTGCTTTTTTTTGCAAGTTGTGTCATCACTAGATGTCTAAGAGTTGTGAGAAAGACAAGACCAAAGTGCTTGGTTGCCATTACCCTTTGCCCATCACTTGTTTTTTTATCAGTTGAAGAGGAAGGATGGATATAAAATCACCAAGTTATATTTTTAAAAAAAAACATTTTTAAAAACTTTTATTTTTTATAAATAAAATAAGTTTAGAAAAACAATCCACACCACAATCTAGTTAGAAGAATGTCTGCCAAAACCAAAGAAATGTTATTCTTCATTGGATGGGCTAAGGATGGACCACTTTAGCACCCCAAAACTAATATTCAATGGATCACATTCTTTCTCCCTTACTCCATCACATGGGCTTTGCCTCTAGGCCTTCACATTTTGTAGTATAGCCTATATTTGAAAAAATATATTCCTTTTATTACTAAAAAAATGAAACACTTTTAGTCAAGATGAAATGTGTTTGGTAGGGTTGTTTATCGGTCGATTTGTTTTGATTTAGAATGACATTGATTCATTTACTAAACAATAGTTTATTAATATGTTAAACTGATAATATAACTATTAACTTACGGGTTTTTCGAAAATAGTCTATTTACCTTCAGGAGGTAGTGATAAGACCTGTGTAACACTTTAGCCTCCTCAGACTCAACTTTTCACTGAATATGTTATTGTTTGATATGGGTTATTTCACAATCGTTAACACCACTTCGTGATTCAGTCATCGATTTAATCGATATTGACTGTTAACTTATATTTTTGAACGTTGTAATAAAACATAAAAAGAAACATGTGATTCTACAGTCTACACGATATATATATAGTAGTATGTAGTTGTAGAATTCGAGTCATCCTAACTTTCCAATTTATTTGTCCCAACAATTTTCAGAACCTAAGATTCTTGCGAGCTTTGATTTTTACCTATTTTTTATCGGGAAAGAGATTGTCAAGCAGGTGAAATTGAAATGAAACTTAGGGAAGAAAATAAATAGTCCCCATTGTAGGTAGTAGTAGTATGTAGAACCAAAAGAAAAACTATAATACATAAACTAGATAATCTTATTTGAAACCACCAAAATATCTATGAAGCTAGTGTGAAAATAAATCTTATTAGGTAATCGATTAAATCATTAAGAAAATTTAAAGGAATTGTTAAGCGAATTGATAATAAGTTAATATAAATACACAATTATTTTCAAATTGTTATATATATGAGAAATTTAGTTCCGCTTGTGCAAGCTTGTTCATATTATCATCCCAAATTTGAATAAAGAAAACACGTGGTAAATTGCTAGCCAATGTTGAACTAGTCAATTTCGTGATGAATTCTTATAGTACCATTCATAAAAATTCATATAAATGATCCCAACTTTATTGAAATTAAGCTTTGTTACCATAGAAATCTCATGGAATATTTGGTTCCTAACCGGTGATTGTAAATATTTTTCTTTTTGTTTTTTTACTTATAAGTTTTTATTTGGGGGTGGGGTGAGGGTGAATTCACAAGCTTATTTTTTTATATGCTTTTTGGCATAAATTAAAGGTATCTATCAAGTTTAATATTGAAGTCTTTCAAAAATGAAAACGACATATTGTTTGTATTAGCTTCTTTGAGGTAGATTGTATATAATTAAATGATTAATGTTTGTCATGTTCAACATTATATTATATCTATTTCCTAAAGATAAAATATTATCCAAAAATAGTGGTCCTACTAATTAATTTCATGTCCACTTGCCTGGTGGTCTACGTTGGATTTGAGATAAAGTTTTACTTTGAAAAAATCACAAATATTTTTAGATTATATTATTGAGTTCAATCAAACATGACCCATGTGGTCTGGTTAAGTGGATGGACTAAATTATTCAAGTTGATGATAACAAATTCAATGAATGAAATGTATAATAATAACTTAGCATGTATTATGTAATCCTAATTACCTACCACCATTCTAAAATAATGATTAGAATTTTGTATTTTCAAAAGAATGATGGAACTAATGACGTACGACACTCATTAAATATAATATGACAATGATATAATATATAGTTGTTATAATAATGTCTCTTTTAACTTTTTTTTAACCACTCCAAATTCAGGGCCATTGTTTAATGGGAATGCTCCAACTACATGGCTTTAGAAAATATTCATTTGTTTATTTAATAACGATGGTGTTTGAATCAATTTGTGTGCATCTCAATTATTCCATTGACAAATACTCGATAACTCAAGGTATCAAAGTTATAAGCAAATAGAAGAAATCATTTGTCTTGTATTTTATCCATTTTCATTAACCACCGGTCCACACTCTTAGTCGTAGAAAATTCTTTTGTTTGAAATTTTAAAAACACCGGCATTTTTGTTGTTATAAGACTTTTGAAACTTGTTAACTTAAGCATATATCATAACGTTTGCGTCGCTCTAGGACTTTCTTGGTAAAAAAACATAGAAATGTGTTCTTTTTTAAACGGAACTAAAAAGAAAATAGTATCATATAAACTGAAACGAATAACAATAGGCCAAAAAAATGAATATTGTGCAACATGTACTTGAGAGTTTTATCAGATCAGATGAGCAAAACAAAAGAGTAAAAGAAGTACAAACCTTTAGAAAACAATATGCATGTCAAGAAAGAACAGACAAACAAAAAGTAAGGACCATTTTGTTCCTCTTTATTTCCTTTTAAGCAAAAACTACAATTGTGTACACAATGGAAGTGACTAATCAAATATCAGCTCAACAATATACCGGTGTAATCCGACTAGTGGGGTCAGGGGAGGGTGGTGTATACACAGCCTTACCCCTACCTTGTAAAGATAGAGAGGATATTTTCGATAAACTCTGGGCTTACGAGCAAAGCATAAAATGATTGATTACAGAAGAATGAATTGCACAAAAAAGAACAGAAGCAACACTAATGACAATTTTCATTAGGACTAGAGATATATTTTTTTTGAGAAGGTAGGACTAGAGATATTTGTGGCTACTTTGAGGAGTATATGCTTGCAACGGGTAAACAAGCATAATTTTAACTAAATGCAGACTGAGAAGAGCCACATATCAATCAATTCATCAACTACGCTTCAGAGCAGAAACTGAATTGACTACAGCCTTTATACGTATGCTGATAAAATCATTCTTCGTATCATAAGATCATGTTACTAAGTTTCAAATATCGTGGCGGTTATACAGTCGAACTATATTCCTTCATTCTCCTTGGAAACTACATAAGAGAGACCACCTTTGGTTAGACATCTTAGTCTACCCGACTTTGACTTCAACTTGAAGGAGCAAGTTTTCGCATCTGTTGTTGAGTTGCAAAGTCAGGATCCACTAGGAATCTATTCTAGACCGACCTATTGGCCATAAATCTATCTTACTCTTCCCTGGTGATCACTTTTTTGCACTCTTAACTGAGGTTTAGAATACTGTTTCTTGATTAATACAACAAGAGTGTAGACATGTCATAAAGTGCTGTCTAGGATATGCCTCTAACCTGGTTCTATAATCTAACCTACCAATACACAACCACATCATTTTAGGGAAAAAAACTATTCAATTTGGAGCGAACTTGCGTTTGAATAAGAAACTAAGCACAACCAGCCAGAGAAACAGGTCATTACTATAAAACTACATACAATTTTCACCAAGCAAA